ACCTCTGATAGAACACAGCTGGTGTGTTGGGAGACCGCTTTGAAGCTGCTGGTGATGGCTGTAGCGTTAGTGTGAAATGTATAGGTGGACTGTAGAAACGCGCTACCTGAATGGAGGGATGAGACTGTGATTGCTAAGACCTGTAATTAACCAAAGCATGTCTTCCTGGGCCTCATGAAGGGAGAGCTTGGGCACGGGTGGGCAGACCGGCAGACTGGTGGGGAAGTACAAAGCAAACAGGCTCCCACATTCAGGAACGAGAGGAGCATTCCCGAGTCAACTGGCTAGTGCGCTCCTAAAGCGAGGTGTTACACTATCTGGTGGGGAAAGGATCTCATAAACTTAGTTGAGAATCCAGGAGTCCAGTGCTTGGAACTTGAAATACCAAAAGACAATGAATTTGGTTTACACATTAAGTTGGGACTAGAAACTGTATTAGAATTACTTTTTTTTTTTTTTTAGCAGAAGTTAAATTCCCACAAGAAAGCTTTAATGAAAGGATATTCTTTTTCCTTTAGAAAATGGTCCTGCATAATCTCTCTTATGGAGGGTCTGAGTCAGGATTTAAGTAAATAGCTTTGCTAGTTTAGCACTGTGTACTCATTTTGTGTATGCTAGCCAGAATGGGTTTATCCAAATAGACGGAGGTTTTTAAAACTAAAACTTTTTAAAAGTTTCAGTTCGTGATAGACTAACAGACAAAACTGAACAATAGCTTAATTTTTTTATTTTAAAAATATTTTAAAAGCATAGAAAAGGGCAGAGAATATTATGACACATATACATGTCACAGAATTAGCTTACTTTTTAAAATTTAAAAGTAAAATTGAAGGTCCCCGGTGTCACCCAACCCTTGACCCTTCCTCTCCCTGGCTTTTAAGAGGCAACTACTCTCATATATTTTATGTGTATCCTTCTGTTCCATGTTTTTGTATATATACCATATGTATCAGGAAATATAAAGATGCAGTATAAATATATGAAGTACTTATGATACCTTAAACAGGTATCATTTGATATGTATATGCTATAACTCCTTTTACTCAGCATTATGATTTTTGAGAATCTGGTTTATATGTATTGATATGAAACATTATAAAACATTGATACATAAAACATTAGTTTATTCATCTTTATTTATAATGTATTATATGGATATACCATGGTGTATTGTTGTTATAAATGCATAACATGTTTGTATAGGTCATCTTGTACATATTACTAGAGATTCTAGTGATGGAATCTAGAAGGGTAATTGCTGAGTCATAGGGTGTATGCAATTCCATTTTTTTTTCTTGCCGTAAGGCCTGTGGGATCTTAGTTCCCTGACCAGGGATCAAACCCATGCCTATTGCATTGGAAGTATAGAGTCTTAACCACTGAAGGGAAGTCCCTGCAATTCCAGTTTTGCTAGTTTATTTCTAAAGTAGATATGCCAGTTGACATTTCCACCTGCAGTATGTGAGAGTTTCCGACTCCTGGTACCAGACCTTTTCAGTTTTTGCCAGTCTGTTAGGTCAGAAGATCTCATTATTTTAATCTGGTTTTTCCAGATTGTCAGTGGCATCATAATTTTTAGCCAATGACATTTGAAAGTAAAAATAGCCAAAGGTATGAAATCCCCCAAAATATATCCTAGATATGTTTATCTGACATGGTAGAATTAAACTATAAAGTTGTGTTATATTATATATAGTGTAATAGTATTCTCACACAACTAAAATTTTAATTATCATTTAACAGCTAAAATCACTTTTTAAAGTTTTAGACATTTTTGATGGAAATCTTCCTAAAATGTGTTATATACTTCCTATTTTGTGAAATTCAGGGTGAATTGAATTCAGTGCTCATAATGAATGATGCTGGGAAAGATTGAAAGCAGGAGGAGAAGGGGATGACAGAGGATGAAATGGCTAGATAGCATCACTGACTCAATGGACATGTCTAAACTGGCCCTGAAGGTATTAATGAATTTTTAAAAAACCTAACATTCCACTCATTTTCCAATGAGTCAGTTTTTCACATCAGGTGGCCAAAATATTTGAGCTTCAGTGTCAGCATCAGTCCTTCCAGTGAATATTCAGGACTGATTTCCTTTAGGATGGACTGGTTGTATCTCCTTGCAGTCCAAGGGACTCTCAAGAGTCTTCCCCAACACCACAGTTCAAAAGCATCAATTCTTCAGCGCTCAACCTTCTTTATAGTCCAACTCTCACATCCATACATGACTACCGGAAAAACCATAGCTTTGACTAGATGGAGCTTTGTTGGCTAAGTAATGTCTCTGCTTTTTAATATGCTGCCTAGATTGGTCATAGCTTTTCTTCCAAGGAGCAAGTGTCTTTTAATTTCATGGTGGCAGTCACCATGTGCAGTGATTTTGGAGCCCAAGAAAATAACGTCTGTCATTGTTTCCATGGTTTTCCCATCTATTTGCCGTGAAGTGATGGGACCAGATACCATGATTTTAGTTTTAATTTTAATTTGCTATACCTCCTTCTATTCAGAATTGTAAGGATATAAGGATGGTTTCTTCTTGAGTGACAGAGGGCATAGGACGTTGAGCAGGAGTTTGTCTCCAGGTAGTGACCACTTCCTGTATTCCCCAGGGTTCTGGATAGTTGAAACTACCCAGTTTCAGGAATCTGCCCTGTGAATGAGTGGTGCTTTTACTATGCCAGCAAAATACCTGCTTGAGAAGAGGCACAAATATTCTCTTAAAGAATGAATGCATTTTAACTCAAGGATGTTAAATTGGTCTGTTACTGAGGAGATAATAAGCAGGAAGGTGACTCATTATCTTAGAAGGTCTGAGAAAATTGGCCAGATACAAGTGGTACAAGTATCATGCTGGTGAGCGGTTATAAATACCATGTGGCCATTAATGCCTCTTTTTCCTTCGTATCTTTTTTTTCTTTTTAAAAATATGTTTTCTTTTTTATTGAACTATAGTTTATTTATAGTATTATGTTAATTTCATGTACAGAGCAGAGTGATTCCTTTATTCTCTCTGTCTTCTTTCCCAGTATAGATTACTACAAGAAACTGAATGTAATTCCCTGTTGTGATTGTTGTGGTTTGGTTGCTGAAATGGTTTAGTTGCTAAGTCGTGTCCGAATCTTTGTGACCTTATGGACTATAGCCTGCCAGGCTCCTCAGTCCATGGGATTTCCCAGGCAAGAATATTGGAATGGGTTGTCATTTCTTTCTCCAGAGGATTCTTCCTGACCTAGGAATCGAACTTGCGTCTCCTGTGTCTCCTGCATTGCAGGCAAATTCTTTTACCACTGAGCTATCAGGGAAGCCCATAATTCCCTGTGCTAAACAATAAATCCTTGTTGTTTATCTATTTTATATATGCTGTACTGTGCTTAGTCGCTCAGTTGTGTCTGACTCTTTGCAATCCCATGGGTTGTAGCCCACCAGACTCCTCTGTCCATGGGGATTTCCCAGGCAAGAATACTGGAGTGGGTTGCCATGTCCTCCTCCAGGGGATCTTCCCAACCCAGGGATTGAACCCAGGTCTCCCGCATTGCACGCCGATTCTTTACCAGTTGAGTTACCAGGGAAGCCATGATGTGTATCTGTTTAATCCCAAACTGCTAATTTATCTCTCTCCTCTCTATTTTGGTAACCATAGTTGTTTGTTTTCTATGTCTGTGTGTCTGTTTCTGTTTTGTAAATAAATCAATTTGTATTATTTTTTAGATTCCTTGTGTGTATGTGTTAAGTCACTTCAGTTGTGTCTGACTCTGCAACCCTATGGACTGTAGCTCCCCACCCTCCCCTGTCCATGAGATTCTCCAGGCAAGAATACTGGAGCAGATTGCCATGCCCTCCTCCAGGGGATTTTCCTGACCTAGGAAACCCAAACCTGCATCTCTTATGTCTCCTGCATTGGCAGATGGGTTCTTTACCACTAGTGGCACCTGGGAAGCCCAGATTGCACATATAAGTGATAATATTTATCTCTGTCTGACTTACTTAGTATGGCAGTCTCTAGGTCCATCCATACTGCTGTAATGGGACTATTTCTTTTTTATGGTTGAGTAATATTCCCTTACTGTGGATATATCCAGAGGTATGAAACCCCCCAAAGCATATCCCAGATATGTTTATCTGACATGGTAGAATTAAAATGTAAAGTTGTGCTATATTCACACGGTCATATATATATTAGTTCAATTCAGTCGCTCAGTCGTGTCTGACTTTTTGCAAACCCATGGAGTGCAGCGCGCCAGGCTTCCCTGTCCAACACCAACTCCTGGACCTTGCTCAGACTCATGTCTATCGAGTTGATGATGCCATCCAACCATTTCATCCTCTGTCATCACCTTCTCCTCCTGCCTTCAGTCTTGCCCAGCATCAGGTTCTTTTCCAGTGAGTCAGTTCTTTGCGTCAGGTGGCCAAAGTGTTAGAGCTTCAGCGTCAGCATCAGTCTTTCCGATGACTATTCAGGACTGATTTCCTTTAGGATGGACTGGTTTGATCTCCTTGCAATCCAAGGGGCTCTCAAGAGTCTTCTCCAACACCACAGTTCAAAAGCATCAATTCTCCGGTGCTCAGCTTTCTTTATGGTCCAACTCTCACATCCATACATGACTACTGGAGAAACCACAGCATTGACTAGACAGACCTATGTCAGCAAAGTAATGTCTCTGCTTTTTAATATGTTGTCTAGGTTTGTCATAGCTTTCACATATATATATAAATATATATATATGTGTGTGTGTGTGTATATCACATACCTTCTATATCCATTCATCTGTTGATGGACACTTAGGTTGCCTTCTTGTCTTAACTATTGTAGATAGTGCTGCTGTGAGCACTGGGGTGCATGGATCTTTTTGAATTAGAGTTTTCATCTTTTCTGGATGTATCATTAATGCTTGTTAAAGATTTTTAATTTCTGTTTCTTTTCCTAAAACTGTTTATAAATTTACCCTTTCTTTCCAAACTTATGATACAAACTTAACATTTTTGTTTTGTTTTCATTTCAGTGTGACAAAATTAGGCAAGAACGAGATGAAGCAGTTAAAAAACTGGAGGAATTTCAGAAAAGTATGTAAGCATTTCGGTGGAATTGTTCTAACACATACAGTTTTGCTTTGGGGTTATGTGGGTAGGCATGTACTCTGTGTTTAGTTCCTAATGCAATGGACAGCCAAGAAAGGAAGAATTATCTTCCCATTTGCCAAAAAAAAAAATGCTCTGGCATTATTGTGATTTTTAAAGAAATGGATTGAGCATTATCATTTCATAAGTATATTATTTATATATATATATATATAAAGTACAGTTTGTATTTGTTATGAAAATTTTTACTATGCATACCAGTTAAAAGAGAGCAAAAATGGTTACTTTGACTCTGATAAAAGCCAACATTAGTGTATTATAGTCTTTCTTTCCTGCTCTTTTATCTGTGAAATATATCAACAAAAAAATGTAGTCAAGTTTTGCACTCAGTCTTGCAGCCTACTCTTTTCAGTAAATAGTATATCATGGTCATCTTTGCATGTTAGTAGAGAAGTATATCAGTTTTTAGTGTTACCCATAGTATTCTATCATAAAATAGTACCGTAATTTATTTAAACAGTTCTTCAATGATAGATGGATTATTTCTGGTTTTTAGGAATTATCTGTAATGCCATGATAAGAATTCTAATTCATACATCTTTGCAATGGTCTGATTAGTTCCTTAGGGTAATTCATAGAAAGGAATTCTAGGTTTACAGAACTTACACATTTTAGGAATTTGAATGGTTGAAATAGCTCTTTCACCGAGGAAAGTGATAGTCTCACAAAAGCTATAATTTCTTAATTTTTGCTGTTGTTTTTTTATGTGATGTAAATCTGTTATTACTTTATTCCCCTAAAATTCTGATCATGCTCAGAAGATTCAGAAGGAAATATGTCCCAGGAAAGCCAGACTTTAGCTGGGAAAGTGACCCTCCCACTTGGAAGCAAGGCCTATCTCTGTCCTTCTCAGATGCCACATTAGTCAGGTGGTTTGATTATATCATAAAGGGTTGACTTAGTAACTACACTACAAAACATTTCAACATTTATTCTTGCTGGAGGTAAAGTAGCTAGTTTATTTCAGGTGTCTGGCTGTAACAAGGAAAAACTAAAGGGGATATTGTTGATAATAACCTGTCTGGTGGCCAATATGCTATGGCTGGCTTACTGTCATAGTATGCCATACGTGAAAACATTTTTTTATCTGTGAATGTGTGAATGGCAATTGTTTAGGACTTTCTCCTTCCCTAATAGAGGATTAATGGGAATTTCTTACACTCAAACTGACACTGAGTTACAGCTGAAAGAGTTATACCATTGACATTTTTGATAGTTAATGTATTTGAATTAGTTATTGATATTGGGTTGGCCTGTTGTGTGCAGTGGGAATAGTTCAAGTTCTTATGATTGGAGTTATCATAAAATGTTTTGGTCCAGGTAGGTAGTAGAGATTTTACCGTTTGTGTTATGCAAAAATGGAAACAAATTTCTACCAAATTAACTTCCTTTTTTTTTTCCTTGAAGAAATCTTAAATTCTATCTTTTAAAACCCTTTTTATTTTAAACTTTATTTATTGCATTTTTATTGTGCTGGAGTATAACTAATGAACAGTTGTGATAGTTCCAGGTGAACAGTGAAGGGACACAACCATATGTATATATATGTCCATTCTCCCCCAACTTCCCTTGTATCCAGGCTGCCACGTAACGTTGAACAGAGTTCCACATGCTATACAGTAGGTCCTTGTTGATTATCCGTTTAAATATAGCAGTGTGTACATGTCCATCCCAAACTCCCTAACTATCCCCTCCCTGGCAAAGCTCCTTGTCTAAGTCTGTGAGAGTCTGTTTTTGTTTTGTAAGTAAATTCATTTGTATCTTTTTTTTTAAGACAAAGAAGGAAAGATACTGTATGACATCCTTACATGTAGAATCTAAAAAGAAAATAATTACCTTTAGAGTAACATGTAAATTTTGCTTTCATCTACTATTTCTCTTTTCCCTTTCTCTTCCTCTAAATATCTCTGATAGTTTTGAAAATTTGCATTTCTCTTTATGAACAACTCAGAGTCTGAAAGAATTCACCTTTTTATATTGTATTTATTCAATTTTTACCTTTACTGCATCAGCCTGGTTTAAGTTTGGATGGCAGGAAAACAGAGTGTTGACTCTTCACTCAGTTTCAAAAGAACAGAAAATGAAAACTAAGAAAACTTTATCTGTTAAAAAACTGTGCCTGAGATAAATGGTTCATGACTTTAGAACAGAGGGTAGCAATTTAGATTTGGAAGGCAGTGAGGCAGTTTTCACCAGTGAAAAGCACCATTTGCTGTGAATCCCTGTATGCCCCGAGCAGTTAATTTCTGCACTAGTAAAAGTGAAATGAATGACTGTACCTTGTAGGCTGTTTGAGGGTTAAATGAGATAACCCATGTAAAAAGTGCTGAACACAGTGCCTGGCACTGCACTCAACAAATACTAGTTGTTGCTACTGCCATCATCTCATTTACTGTGCCATCCAGGGCTTGACTGCCCTTCAGTACTAAGAGTTCATATCATTTACCCTCCATGAATTAGTTTCGGGACATAGTCTCCACATTGGTAACAAAATTGAAATCTGCCTCCCTGTAATGTTTCCCTACTAGTTCTAGTTCTCTTAGTGTAGGAAGAACAGCCAAAAGAGGGTGAGGAAAAGCTTTGTTAGGCTGTCGGGATCAACTCTTCCTAGCCTGGCATACTTTTCCTAGCTGGTTTTGCCCATATTTCCCTGTGATTCTTGGCCCTCTGCCAGCTTTTCCTGAGTCTCTCTTGTCTTTCTGGACAAAGTATACCACTGCTGAGCAAAGCCCTGTTCCCTGGAAAGCAGATGAAAGTAAAAGTGAAGTTCCTTCATGTCTTTTAGGCCACTCTGCATTAGATCCTTTGCTCTCTTTTAGGGCCTACCAATTTTCCTGCATACCTCTAGCTTTCATGATTGTTTTCTCACTACATGAAAACCTAAGTAATCTGATATTGCAGGAGAATTTATGGTATGTTTGCCACGTATACATTAGAGATACCCTGCATCTAAAGATTGCTAAGAATGGGCTGAATGGAGAGGAATTTTGCTCAGGAAGCAGCACCCTGGGTGGGGTGGCACTTTTAAATATGAGCAATTAGAAAAGAACATAGAAAATTGGAGCCCTCTAGACATCGCTTTGGCTGGCCTTTACCAGTTAGAACTCCGTAATCTGGGATATGTTCCTTAACTTCTCCAGGCCTCGGTGTTCTCCAATACCAAACTGCTATGGTAATATCTACCTTGTAGGATTGTCCTGAGGTTCTTTGAGCGGACACATGTGCAGGGCTCAGCACACAATAGACACATTGTTGGCCCAATAAACGGTGATAGTGGTTGTTTCCTAAGCCATTCTGTGCTACAGGGAACAACCCTATGAAAGGGGTGTTCATGTGTGAACTTAGGCCTGAGACAGTTTTTCAGTCATCAGACACATACAGACATGAATACCTACTTTGTACATAGCATTGTGCTGGGTGCAAGAGAGTCAGCCATGAATGAAGAATTTTTCTGCCCTGATGCTCACTCAGTAGAAGACAAAGCAAATTAAAAGAACCCCAGTGCCCCTACAGTGTGATACATTCTATGATGGCAAGTATATGAGAATGTTTTGGGGTCATAGAACACGAGAGTCAGACTTCGCTGATTCGACTAGACTGATAGAAGCCGCAGTTGAGACTCTTTTAGGTTATACTTCTGAATTCTCAGAGTCATTAAGAAAAATGTTTATTATGGAAAATGTCAAGCTTGTACAAAAGTAAAAAATATATAATGAACTGACCCCCGCCATGTACCTATCACACAGTTTCAAAAGTTGTCAGTTTGTGTCCAGTCTTCCTTCTTCTGTACATCCATACACCTGTTCTCACTGACCTTAGATTATTTTGAAACTAATTCCAGTCATTATATCATTTGATCTGTAAATATTTCAGTATGTATTTCTAAAATACTAGGATTTTTTAAAAACATAACTGCAGTAGAGTCACTTTATTTAAAGTTTATCTTTTTTCTTTTTTAAACCTTTTTGTCATCCAAATTATAGGTGTTTTAGGTACAGCACTGGTCATGGATTGTGGATATTATGAGGAAAGTCTGAATTTAGGGCTGTAGGCAAATCATTAAATGAACAATTAAAGTTTTAAAAAATCTTCATCATTTGAAAGTAAATAAACTTATATATTAAAAAAAAATTTCTGGGACTTCTCTGGCAGTCCATTGGTTAAGACTCCTTACTTCCACTGCAGGGGGCACTGGTTTGATCCCTGGTTGAGGAACTAGGATTCCACATGCCACACAGTGCCACCAAAAAAAAAAAATTGTTTTATGTCAGGTGACTTGACTTTTGGTTTTGGAAATTGGATCATCCTTTGTAAAGATATAGATGCCCTTTGAAATATGCTCCTTTCTTTTGGATCTAGAAAGTTTGTAAGTAGGTTTCTCTGGTGTCAGCTTAGCATTGGGATAATTTTTTAAACTGAAAATTAAAACACAGTTTCAATTTTCCACTGTTCTCGCTTATAAGAAGAAATAAAAACTTACCTGATGGAGTATACTGTATCAGAACTGGAGAAAATGTGGACTAGCGTTGCCCAGCTAAGTTTATCAAGTTAAATTACAGGGCAACTTTTTACAAAATGTTTAGAAAATAAGTGTTGTTGTTGTTTTCTCTCTTTACTGGGGCTAAACCTTTCTAGTGTGGAATGATTTTTCCTATTCTTTCATGAGCAAGAATATTATTGAATAAAAAGTCAAATTCTTATGAAAAATGCAGAGTGTTTATGTTTTTGTTATGATAGTTAGAAGTACCAGATTGTGGTAGAAGGTGTCAAGTAGTTAAGGCTAAAAATTTGAAGTAATATTTGATGTTGTAAAAATTGTGTGGGTTTCTTTTCTCTTTCCTTCACAGTTTTGAAGAACCTACCTTGTAAACATAGTGATAAAATGCCAGGAATATTAGGACTTTAAGGAAATAATAGAGCCTATTATTTAAACTACAATATAAAAGGCAATTATATTGATGAAGAGCTACATGGTCTTTGTGTGTGTGAATAAACTTGGCCTGTGTTCAGCTTCTATTTGTTCTTCTGGCATAAACACATATTGTGTGTGATTCCAGTTTAATGGGGACCCGTTTGTATGCCAAGCAGCTGCATTTTAGGACCTATTGCGTGATTTCATAGCTCTCTGAAAATTGGTTCTATTCAGAACAAGAGATAGAAGAGGAGAAGGGGGGGTGCTGTGGGGGGGGGTGGGGGAGAGCTCCAACACACAATCATTTCTTTTCAATTGGAGCCAGAAAGGTTGATGACAACATGACCATTGTGTTATAATGATAAGACCACTACGGCATCTGTACCTCTCATCAAGGCTTTCACACAGCAGCAGATACAATTTAATTCACTGCTCTGTCAGCAGTGCTGATACCATTATGCCGTCTGTCTCCACAGTTATAATCGCTGTCCTCTGAGAAATGCAGTTGAAATGATCTTGAGCAGTCAAAGAAACTCTCAATTAAGGCTGCCACTTCCAATGTGTCAGATTGTGTCTTATGCACTTGGTACAATTTTCACTTCCAATCCTGTTTATTTACAATGTCTACCAGTAATTACGCTTAACGTGTCATTTAGTGAGGGGGGCCCCTGCCAAGCCGATTGTTGGGTGCTGCTGTACCATTGAGTGGGAGTTTCTCAAGTCGGTGCCATCAGCAGCTTTTAGGCCCTGATGGGATGCGGTAGTAATGTTGATAATGCAAGGATCGTGCTCATCAAGTCATAATTAGATGCCACTCAAATGTGCCACTTGTAATAACAGTGTTGATTCATGTTTTTCTCGGTGACTGCAACTACTAATTAGTTAAGTGGTTTTTGGTTGGCCTGCATTTGCTGCGGATCATTATTACCCCTGAAAAAATGTCAAGGTTAGAGATGTTTCTGGCCATTTAGTGCTGCTTTATGAATTTGAATATTAACATAATAAGAACTTTGGATGGACTTAGGAAGTAATACATTTTTGTATTTAATTTGGAGAGAAATTTTTTCCCCTGAGTTTAATCATAATTGCAGGTTAATTAAGCTTAAATGAAGCAAAAGTAATCTCTCTTTGTGTTATGTGAGCCCAGTGCTTTTTGCCTAACTTTGTTGGGTTTCACATTTCGGTGCCCTTAATTTTGCTTCTTTTTTTAAAGCCAAACAAATATCAATAAACATACATGTCTACAGTTAAGTTTGAGCTTCTGAGCACTTTCTTTTCAACTAGAAGTATGGGTAAAAGGATTTGGCATTTTTCTTACTTCATCTTCAAAGTATAACTCAAGTTCTCAATAATTTTGTACTTTTGAATCTCATTTATATAAACCAGCTACCAAAAAGTCTGAGAATTGCTGTTTTTGGAACATTGGTTAAACGTCAAGTTTATTTTTTTTGTAATCTTCCTGACAGTCTGTGATGTGAGAAGCAATTTGTTACCATCAACTTTTATTATCACTCAGTGCAAAAATCTTGTTGCTATAGTTTTCTGCCCTGGAGTTTATGAAATACTTTGTCAGTAATAAAGACTACTATTGAAATAATCAACTTAGTTAAGCTGCCACGTTGTTATTCTACTTATGAGATCAACATGTAAGATTTATTTTTAAACATTTCTCTTTAGCTAGTTTTCCTTAGGAGATGCATAAGTTATATTCTGCTAAGAAAAGGAAATTATATTTGCCACTTTTAATTTATGAGAGGTTCTTTTGTTTAAATTAGCAGACATGTCTATAGTTATATAGACTGCTACATAGAAAAGAGACTCAAAAAATTCTCAATAGCTTTCCTAAAATATGTGTAATAGCCATAAAAGTTCTTTGTTGTCTTTTTTTCTTTCTACATTCAAATTTTAGCTAAGATTTAATCAGAGCAGCATCTTCAACACTTTTTTTTTCCATGATAGCTAAAGGTCTTGCCAGCTAAAGAATTACAGTATTCTTAATCATGGGACAAGATGTGTGGGCTTCTGGAATAGCTGACTAATCTCTGAATGCTAAGACTTTTTCCCCCTCATTCCTAGTTTCTCACATGGTCATAGAGGAAGTGAATTTTATGCAGAACCATCTTGAAATAGAGAAGACTTGTCGAGAAAGTGCTGAAGCTTTGGCAACAAAGGTGAGACATTTCATATAAAGGAATTCTACCTGAGCTTTTAAAATTCAACTTGGCTTTTCTGCATAGTGACATCTATTTTCTTCTGCTTTTCTAATTCCCTAATCAGTTGATTCTGATCCTCATCAGAGGTCTCAGAATCCTGAAATGTGATTATGTAAATATCGTCTTAATGCCAAGATTATTTTGGTTATAAAAAAAGAAGTGTTTGTATATGTGTATCTCAGTATTTGTGTGTGTGTGTGTGTGTGTTTGCCTGTGAAAATGGTCCCAGAGTAGTTTGTCGAACTCGACTTTCCAGTTGTCTGTGCATTTGGTTAAAATGCTAACCAAGTTTAAAACTAACCGAAAGTGACATAAAAGAGCAATGAGTGTTTCCTGTTTGAATCAGATGAAAAAGTCAGCCTCAGACTGTACATTTCAGGTGATTATTTTTGAAAGCAGAGTGAGGGCATGCTAAAGGTGACCTCCAGTACACTGCTGATTGCTTCTAGCTGATGAATTTACCAAGTGTGTAATTTTCTATATTCTATCTCATCAGAAGTACATTATTATTAAGGAATATTTTTATCTCTGTCTTACATATTTTGGGTTGGGCAAAATGCATCTGAACCACTTCATCAGAAAATGGATTACAGCAATTTTCATCCAAATTTCATTAGTGATGCTGGTTTTGTTTCTTTGCCCTCTCCACTATCACCTACCTCCATAGTGTTTCTTTGGATGCACCTGAAATTCTATACATCAGACAGTCAATCAGTCAATTTAATCTATGTGCATTAGCATTGTGCTTGCTAGAGGTATTTGCTTAATTGTTTGCATAATGACACTACATTAGAATTCATAAGATATGCAGGCAGAACCTAAATAAGTATATTAATGTGTGTATATAGCTTCTCTTCCATTATTTGTCCAAAGAATCTATAGCAATAGAGGCCATTGCTTTAGAAGGAATGATAACATGGAGCCTCTATTCTGTATATCACTAGTGTTCACAGGTTCATAATACTGTTTGAATTTCTTTTCATTTCCTTTTCTTCATTTCATTTTCCAGGTAGGAAAAATGTATTTGGAGCATACTAGCTGTTCTAAATCTTGTAGCGGCTAAGGATAGTTTCTGTATTTTCTCTTGTTTTTAACAAGAATTCCTGTTGGTATAGTACATCCAAAGTGAGAACTCTGACTATCTCTCAGGACTGGCAGTTTATGGAAAACAATGGTTTGGGAGGCAGTATATACAGGTTTTATTACCAGTTATATAATTTTGGACATATGGGACTTTGACCAGGTTAATTCTGTTCCCTAGATGGCTGTTGTCTCATCTTAAATGACAGGATAACCTTGAATTAGGACTAAAGTGAGAATGGGACAGACTTTGTTTAAGATGACTTTAGTCATTGGTCCCCTTAAAAATTATTTTATTGTTTTCCCCCCTTTTGTATTTAACAGTTGATTTTGTAGCGGAAGAATTCACACATCTAACCTGCAATTATCATGTCATAATTTTCAAGGTAGACCAGGATTGATTTCTTAAGAATACCCAGACCCACTGCTCTAGTAGTATGGCCCAGGCATGTGAATGTTGAAAAAGTTGCCAGGTGACTGTATAGTCATCCCTGGTTATGACAGTGTGTTACTAATCTCTGGGGTCATTTTTACAGTTTATTGTTGATAATAGGACCCTTAACGTAGAGTTTGTCTTCTCTTCTTTAAGAAGCCCTTTTGAAAATGGACAAATGGTTTGTTTTTGAGGCTACAGTGTACTTTAAAATACAGTGTATGTGGACATTAGAATAAAAAACCAAAAAAATCTATTCGATTAAATGCTATCAATATGCTCGTTAGATGTGAAAGAAGCTACAGCTTTGAATACAAAGTTTGGGAGCCTCATTATATGTGTGATCAATAAATGAAAGTAACACATCCTGATTTAAGTAATAATTGTCCTTTTTGGGAATAGTTTTCATTTTCTAAACAGCAAAGTTTCTGTAAGTTCTTATTTTTCTAAGTCTTTTTTCTCAAATTAAGGACAAATGGAATGTTTAATTCTTATGATGCAATTTACATTGTTTCCTTAGAAGCAAGTGTGGATACTTTGCTTTGCTGAAATGTAAAAGTTAAACCAATAAGATATAGACCAGTTATTTAAATTGTATGATCCAAGTCTATTTAACATGCTTATTTTGTATTTTAAATATCCATTAAACTGTGCTCTATATAAAAACCCTGTTTAAATTTGAATATAGCGTAAGATTCTGTTCCTGCAGTGTTATGAAAGGTTTATTTTTGCCTTCTAACTTAGAAAAGTTCTGAAACGGAAGTAGCTTGCATTAACCTGTATAACCTGATGGCTAATAACTGCAGTGACATTGCTTAGCTTCAATTTGTGAATTCAGAGTTCTCAAAAATTTCTACTTCCTATGGTCATAAGATTTTATGTGTATAAATCTTGTATTTTCTTCTTTCAGAATATGAAAATGATGTTTCCAGAGAAGACTTGAAATTATGTTTGGCTTTTTTCTTGAGAAAGTAACTTTGTTGAATAGAGTAATTGTATTACAGCCAAATAGCTGGTAGATATTGGTGCCTGGTTTGATAGGAGCATTAACTCTTTTAGGGCAGAACTGTTAATTGTTAGGTTATCAAATGTTACTTTGATGATGGCCTGGGAAGTAATATGTTAAGCATCAGATGGCAAAAATGAGTATTTTCAGTTTTTCATGAATCCTGGGGAAAGGAACGTTGTATAGATAAATGCCTTGGTTGAAGAATACTGGCTTATAAATGATTTCTGGAGGAAAATTAGACACAGAGTAAATCTCTTTTATTACTATTAGCAATATTTGCTGAATTTTTATTGTAAGTCACTTACTATGTTAAATGCTTTATATAGAATATGTCACTTAATCTGCATACTGTGGGATGGAGACTATTTTAATCCTTAGTTAGCTAATGAGAAAAACTAACACTGAAAGGTTATTCTAGAGGTAGAGGCAGAATTTGATCGCAGAGCTGTGTTCTCAGCTCTGCTATAGCACTGCTGCTGCTAATTGTGTAGAAATATATCCCCAAGTACTGCATTCCTCCATGTCAATTCTCAGTGTTGAAGTTCCTTTGAATCATCTGGGAAGCCATTCCTCCATGTCGATTATTCTCAGTGTTGAGGTTCATTTGAATCATCTGGGAAGCCATTCCTCCATGTCGATTATTCTCAGTGTTGAGGTTCATTTGAATCATCTGGGAAGCCATTCCCCCATGTCGATCATTCTCAGTGTTGAGGTTCCTTTGAATCATCTGGGAAGCCATTCCTCCATGTCGATTATTCTCAGTGTTGAGGTTCATTTGAATCATCTGGGAAGCCATTCCTCCATGTCGATTATTCTCAGTGTTGAGGTTCATTTGAATCATCTGGGAAGCCATTCCTCCATGTCGATTATTCTCAGTGTTGAAGTTCCTTTGAATCATCTGGGAAGCCATTCCCCCATGTCGATCATTCTCAGTGTTGAGGTTCATTTGAATCATCTGGGAAGCCATTCCCCCATGTCGATCATTCTCAGTGTTGAGGTTCATTTGAATCATCTGGGGAGCCCTGAAGAAGTGCTTACGCTGGACTCTGTTGCCAGAGAGTTTTGGCCTGGTGAGGAGGGCCTGCAGAGTGGAATTTTTTTTTTTTTTTAACTCTACAGATTGTAATGTGCTGGGTTGGGAACCATTTGTTTATTAGGAGGCAGAATTACAAATTAGATCTTGAGTTTTTCCACTCTTTAATTGTTCTTTTTCCCTGCATTCTGAAAAGATGTCACCCTTTGAGAACTGACAGTGATCCTTGAGCCTCTAGTGCTGTGCCCTAGCATTCATGGCTCAGAGAAGCCAGGCCAGTGCTTACTGGAATCGTCCATCTGAAGGAAGAGGGATTGGGAAATCGTGGCACTTCTATCGTATCTCTGATCCTCTCCTGTAACATGGAGAGCTAGAAGCTGGCACTGTGTCTGGGGACTGGGAGTAAAAGTCTGTGCCTGATTCCTTGAATGGATCTCGCCAGCCTCCCCAGGAAGAATCCAGGGAAGGGTTCATAGCCATTCCTGAGTGATCCTTCCTGATTCCCCAGAGAGGTCAGGGAACCCTCTTGTGTTCCAGACCTTGCTACTTGGATATATTTAGCCTCCATATTACTTGGATAAGAATCAGATCTCCCCAAGTGATATGGGCTGGGCTTTCCCTGAGAGAAATCCTGAGGGGTCCTAATCATGACGACAAATGAAGGACCAAAGCCAGACAAGTGCCATACTAAACACCTTATTCTGGTGTAAGGTTTACATAGAGAAGGGCCTTTAGCTTTCCAGTGAATTTTTTCTATTCGTATTTATATTTATATTCAATGTCAGTTATTAAATTCAGAACTTGTTTTGATGGCCAACAGCCCTTACTAAATGCAAGCACATTTCTGTATCTTACATTTTATACTAGAGAAAGCAATCTACTAAACACTTCCTAAGAGAAGATCTTTCATAGTATAGTCTTGGGAATAAAGTAAAATCATACTTTGCTTTAGTGGACTTTGGATCAAGTTTAGTCTTTGCGTGTGCTTTGTACTAACATTTATATGCACGTAAATACAGGAGCTGAAGAAGGTAATGATAATTAGTAACCAACTCATTTTTTACATAAAGGGCGTACTAAATACATCAATGAATTAGGTTTACTTTATCTGCAATGACATAGAGATAATAGAAACATATCTTGAACTTTCTCCTATTGTGTATTATTAGAATTCTAGGGATAGACAGAAGCACATTAAGAATTAGTTTAAGCAAGAAAAGGGAAAAAAAAGTAGGAGTTTGTTCAGAGGGATGTTGGAGAATCCCATAGAATCCATGAGCTGGTAGCATTTTAGGAATGGACTAGAACCCTGTGGGAAACCCAGTGTCTGTTGCTTTTCTCTGTCTCTCTGCACATTGGCTCCATTTTGGCTTTGCTGCATACTGCCTTTCTCTATTCCTCAGTTGAGTAGTGTGGTGTGGTTGCCAGTAACTACCGTACATCCAGACACAGGGACAGGAGTTCCTGTCCAGGAGAACAGGAGTTGCTTTGGGAGAACTTGGCTGTTCCAGAAATTATGTGGAACATGAAGAGGCAGTGGCAGTGTCCAGAAAACAGGGAGTGTAGGACAAAAAAACATATAAAAGGTGTTCACAGCACAGCATCAAACCAAATAAAGTGTCTTAAATTAGGACTATTAATGACTGGATAAATTGAAATTCGATATAATCTATTCTCATGTTTTATCTTAATTCTTCTTGTATTTATCAGTCATAACTAGCATTTTCACATGCTGTAAAGGCATAGGTCTTTCTTAATTAGTTTAATGTTAAAAAGTATAAATAAGGTAATATTTAGTGACTCTTCTGTTTCATGCTGTGAATGTTGATGAATGTGTAGACAAAGAGATGCTTAATTTGACTATTGTATAAAAATCCAAGACACTCATTTGCTCTTAAAATAACTGTCTTTATATTTGCCTTAGTTAAATAAAGAAAATAAAGCATTGAAAAGAATCAGTATGTTATACATGGCCAAGCTGGGGCCAGATGTAATAACTGAGGAGATTAACATTGACGATGATGATTCAGCGATGGACCCAGAGGATGTTGCCAAGACTTGTGTCTCAGTACAGTGTCAGAAGCAGATCAAAGGTAAGGATTCCTGGCTTAATTATTGAACGTGGTTTTGACTCCTATTAGGATAATGCTTCTCAACCCTGGTTGCACATTGAAATTGCATAAGGATTTCAATAAATACTGATGCCTGGGTCCTTCTTTGGAAAAAAATTCTGATTATTTGTCCCAGAGGGTAGTCTAGTTGAGAATCATGATGACTGTAGCTTTATGAGTTACTTTCTTGTTTGGGATTAGGTACTTTTGAAAGCGCCATCTTGACAGGGAACAGTCAGTTAACCTACACATGTCTTCAGGATAGGACTGTGTATTAAGATATTTTTGTTAAATGAAAGAAAGAATGAATAAAAATTTATTTAGCCAACACCTTCTATTAGTCTGATTTCTCTGTTGAAATCTTTGGGGAAGATACCTCCCAAAATTGCTTTGTCTCTGCCCTCCAAGAACTTCTCCTAAGATTCAAGCAATGAGCTAGAAGCAATATGTAGTATTAAGCAACTATGTTGGTCCCCAAATAGTTCTATAAGTCGAAACCACACAGTACATCTGTGAAGTACACGTTAAGTTTTTTAATATAAGCTTTTTAACTACACATATAGCTTAGGATGTAGGAAAACAGTCTGGGGCTTGGTAATTATTGGAGCATTTCAACTTACTGTACCTGTCAAGAATAATATTTGTTGGTTTGGTAGATGAAACTTCAGTTGGAAATATAAAGAAGAAAGTAAAAAGAAAGCCAGTTTAACCCTGTGTGTGCTCAGCTGCCAAGTCGTATCCAACTCTTTGTGATGCCATGGGCTGACCACAGCCCGCCAGGCTCCTCTGTCCACGGGCTTTCCCAGGGAAGAATACTGGAGTGGGTTGCCATTTCCTGCTCCAGGGGATCTTCCTGACCCTGTAATCAAACCTGCGTCTCCTGCATCTCCTGCCTTGGCAGGGAGATTCCTTAACCACTGAGCCACCTGGGAAGCCCCTCTTACCCTCTCACCTGATAAGAAATTGTCTTTATGTTGGCAGGAAGGGAGAGGAGGTTTAAAGGCTTTCCTTTTGTTTCTCTTTCTCCCTTCTATTAGATCTTGGATGGTACGGTGTCTGATTCTTTTTCAGGATTAGTCCGGCAGTGGAGAAAGTGGTTTTGAAATAAGTCTCTTGAGAGCCCCTTCATTAATCTGGGTTCATGTAAAAAGTTTGATTTGATTTATTAGTAAATAACCACATAGAGCGTTTCTTATTATCCTTGGAGAAGGGTAAGAAATTAAAAGCTGCAAAACTATGTGGGCCTGGGTATAAATTTAAGTACTGTGCTAGTCCATGTATTTTTTCTTTTTCTTAACATTTGAGTGGTAGAAGTAACTTTAATATAATACCAGAAGCTTTTGCACTTATAGCGCCTAATATTTTCATTCTAGTAACAGTTTTCAGTTAATCTCAATAATATGAAATATGAAATAAATTAAGAAACAAAACACCCACAACTCTGGAGGGAAAATTATTACAATTAACCCTTTTTCAAATAGGTTATATTTTGAGTCAGTTCAAATAATGTTTAAGGGCTATAAATTGGCAGCACATCAGGATTTTTTTTCTTTAAATCAAAATCTCCAAATTGTTAGCTGCCCCGTTTGTTTGTATTGCATTGTGACAAGAGCCCATGGCCATTATAAAATAAAAAAGAAATTAGTACAATGCCTTAATTTGTTTTGCTAAAAGCTTAAAAAATTCTACTGCTAAAATGCCAGACAGTTTCTAGAATATAGGTTTGATACAATGCAGAGAAAACATAATCTAGTACATTTAACATAGTGAGAATGCCTGATAGAAAATTTAAGAAACATAGCTATATTAGGGGAGGGGAACAAGTGAAATTTCCATTGTCTTTTGCTGCTTCATTTTCCATCTAATTGTTGAAAACCTTTGACAGTAAACTGCTCATGGACTGGTATTTTCAATTATTCTGACAAGATTGATTTCTTCTTTTAAAAACAAGGCTTTATTTTTTCTTTAAAAATGCAGAACTTCGAGATCAAATTGTATCTGTTCAGGAGGAAAAGAAGATATTAGCCATCGAACTGGAAAATCTCAAGAGCAGACTTGTAGAAGTAACAGAAGAAGTATGTATCTTAGGCCCGAAAGGCAGGACCTTTAGTGTTTTTAAGATGTTTGGGGACAGGCTGCATCAAAAACTTGCTGTTGGAAGCTAGTTTCTGACATGAGAACCATGTAGCAATTTTAATCTTCTCTTGTTCCTACTCTTCCAGACCTACAAAAAGGTACAGAAAGTAAGATCATAAACATTCATGCGCCCCCTCTGTAGCACAGGAAATAATGTACTAAAATACCTTGAAGTGTTTCCTGTTATCCCGCATGTTTCACTGTTTGTAGATTTGTGACAATGATATCTGCATCTGAAATCACTCACTGTTGCTGCTGGTAAAGAATGATTTTACTTCTCAAGTCGAGGACTAACTCAGTAGAGAAAGGCTCTCCTCCTTTGTACCTCCCATCACAGGCATATATGGTAGATAGTAGAATGGGTTCAAGTGGGTGTTTGGAGAATCTTTTTGTTTTTTCCTCTGAATTGTCTGTAAAAGCAAGAGCACGTACTTAGCCTTCTTTGCACGTGGCTTCAAGAATCTGCCTTTGCAGACTCGATTTAACTTGTGTCAATGGTTCTCAGAGTCTGTAGCCCAAGGTTTCCCAGCTGATGTGTTATAGCACCTTGATATCTTGCCAGTGATATCAAGTGTCCCAGGGTATTTGTCCCTTCAGTGAGCAGCCTCATCTAGTTCCCATACACATATTCTTAAGGACCAGAATGTGAAAAAGGTTGGGAAGCAGTGCCCATCTACCTCCCAGCCTCAGTTACTGTTTACTTATTGTGGCAGTAAGTGTGAGTGGGAAGAAGGAGAATGATGTTTTGGAAGCACTGAGCAGGGTATACCAGTTGCTAATTTAAACAGAAAGCAATAGTATACCTTGTACTAAAAAAAACCATTCACAGACTTTCTGGAAGTGCTAATGGATTCAGGGGCCCTTTCAGGACCATCATCTTAGCCTGTTTCTTGAGTGTTACCGTAGGAGAGAAAGACATTTTGATGCATTCCATTTCTCAGTTTTAATTATTTTTTGATGATTCTCTTCCTTCCCACTTAGAGGTATTATTGGAAGCCATTTCAGAAGTTAGTATTTTTAAGATTATTTCAGACATCTGAAAAGTATAAAAAACAAAGTAATGAACCTCCATATGCTGACTGCGCAGTTCAGTACATAAAACCTTAACATATTATTGAAACCCATGTGTCTCTCTCCCTGAGTGCATTTTCCTGACTCCCTGCCCTGTTTCTCTAAACCACCATTATCCTAAACTTGGTTTTTAAGATTTCAGAGATTATATTTACATATCTGCTACAATGACTAGTATTTTGAATGTTTTTAACTATATAAACCTGCTTCTTAAATTCATCATAATGCTTTTGAGATCTATCCACTTGCTGTATATAACTTGACATTCTTTTTTTTAGAACTCTTCTATGATATTCTCTTTTCCTGTGATGACAAAAATTATTTCAGAAATTGAAGTCTTTTTGAGGGGAGGTTTTCATATGTATTTTATTTAAGTCAAAGGTCAAAGTATTTTTTATTTAAAAAAAAAATCTATGTATGTTTTACATAGGCCAAATGTCATCAAAGTGTAAAATGAATGCCAAAATTTAATATTGTATCTCTGATTAAATGATTCAGGTGTTTTTTGGGTGCAGTCTAGTTGGATTTTTCCTTTTAAAATGTCAGTCATTTACATTGGATGACTAGAACATTGCCATATTTAAGGAGCAATGCTAATGCTACTTGGAATATGCAAAGAAGTTCCAGATATATATCCTAAATTAAATAGCTACTTTGAGGCTATAAAAATGCTTTAGTAAAAGCCTAACACAGTGAAGGCAATTATTGCTTTAATGTAGCATCGTGTTGAAAATTAAACAGCAGTATAAGTCACCCATCATCATGTCATGTTTTACAATTTCGGATGTTTTCTCCTCTCACAATATCACATTTAGGTAAATAAAGTTAAACAAGAAAAAGATGTTTTAAATTCGGAAGTTCTTGAACAGAGAAAAGTCTTAGAAAAATGCAATAGAGGTATGTGTTTCTAGTCTTTTCTTTCAAATCTATAACTTACTTTGTTTATATATATTTTGTATTGTTTTAGACCTGTGTCTAAAGAGTGTTGTAGCAAAAGTTTTCTATTTTGTGTCTTCTTAACCTCTAGCAATGAGTCTCATTTCCTGTTCTTTTATCACCTAAGTTAGAGCCTGAAGAAATTTAAAAGTGCTTCTGCTTAAGGAATTCACAACCCACTCATTTTGAAACTTCAGGCCTATATCCTCTTTTGTCCTACATGTATCCTGGGACCATGGCCATATTGGTATTTATGTATCTGGTAGAGTTATTCAGTAAACCTCTCCTCAGTCTAGCAGAGATTGGGATATCTACATAAATACATGCAACATTAGATGATAAAATTTTAAATTAAGAGGAAAAGGAAATAGTTTCATCAGTACTATCTAGATTCCATACATATATGTTAACATACAATATTTGTCTTTCTCTTTATGACTTACTTCACCCTGTACAATAGGCTCTGGTTTCATCCACCTCATTAGGACTGACTCAAATGTGTTCTTTTTTTTCAAGCTGAATAGCTTTCCATTGTATATATGTACCAAAATTTCTGTATCCATTCGCAGTGGAGATGCAGACACAGACAACAGACTTGTGGGCACAGCGTGGAAGGGAGTGTGCTAAGTTGCTTTTTCATGTCCAACTCTTTGTGACCCTATGGGCCATAGCCCGCCAGGCTCCTCTGTCCATGGGAGTCTCCAGGCAAGAGTACTGGAGTGGGTTGCCATTTCCTTCTCCAGGGGATCTTCCCAATCCAGAGATCGAACCTGCATGTCTTATGTCTCCTGCGTTAACAGGCAGGTTCTTTACCACTAATGCCGTATGGGAGAGTAGCATGGAAACATATACATTACCACATATAAAATATAGTCAGTAGGGATTTGCAGTGTGACATAGGGAGCTCAACCCCATGTTCTCTGACCACCTAGAGTAGTGGGATTGGGGTGGGAGTTGGGAGGGAGTCCTAGGAGGGAGGGGACATACGAATGGCTGATTCATGTTGATGTATGGCAAAAAAACAGCACAGTATTGTAAAACAAATGTCTTGCAATAAAATGTTTAAAAAGAAAAAGAGGGTATGGAAAATGGGACAAAGGGAAAGTGAGAATATGTGTTCAGATACAAAGTGCTTCCTTGCTCCAAGTCCTTGCACTTTCCTGCCTGTGTGCCTGAAGTCTGGCTGTGAGCTCTCTGGGAGGCAGAGCTGTGAGAGATTCATGATCTTTTCTGTGAATCACATAAAAATTTACCTCTTCATCAGGAGAAGCAGACCTGGTCTCATGGTGAGAAGGAACTTTGTTCTGGAGAAAATTCTGTGTAATTGAATTTTATCATTCTAGTCATAAAGCATAGCATCTAACCTCATGGTGCCATTTCGTATATCTCCTGGTTTAGGGCAAAAGAGTTATGCCAAAGTGCAAACGTAATTCTCAAGGAGAGCAGGGCCTCTTACTATGCTTTTTGTTCTGCTTTTCTCCCTCAGCCACTGTCTTTCCTAGTTCAGGAACTACACCTTGAAAAGGAAACCTTTCAGACCCAGGACCTTCCCTGTTGGTAGTGGTGGTGGTTCTCTATCTTTGTGTCATTCACAAATTGAGATTCTTTTTTTTTTTAATAAATGAACTTGTAGCTACACTATACTAGACACAGGGTTCTACAAAGGTTAGTATGATGGCCCTTGCCTTCAGAGAGCCCCCTATCTAGGAAGAGAGAGAGATTATGTAAATAAATACATGACTAGGACCAACCCAATTTCTTTCAGAATCTAAGAGGACCAGGACATGTGAAAATTCACTTTTTATCATAATGTTCTGGTCATAGGAAAGAAAGTCAATTATCTTGCCCAGGACTTGGGATAGTCATAATCTTGTTTTCTTTGCAGAATTTCTTTTTAAAAATAGGTTTGAGAATCATTTAGCTCTCAGGGCCCTATAATTCACATCACAAACCACCACTTACATTGCTTCACTTGAGCAAGACTTTTAGTCTTTCCTCTGAGGAGGCGGTAGGTTGACCGAGTACAAAGTTTGAAATTCTATGTCATTACACAGCAAACCAGTCCTTAGTCAGTTAAGACTGAAGTGCCCTGGAGGAACAGCTTGTGAAAGCAGCCATTAAGAGAGCCTTTTTAAAGCCTTTTATTGCTATGACTCAGCTCAGAGTTGAGAGTGCCTGACCAGAATCTGATGGAGAGATCAATGTACTGTCCACCCATGTGGTACCTAGTTGGTGATGACGCCATCACTCCCTCTGCCCCATCTATATCATTATTTAACAAAATGTCGAAAAGCAGGAAAGAATTCATGTTGCTCCTATTTGACAGGATATTCCCTTTGAAGGTTTCTGCCCACAGGGATTCTTTAATTCAAAGCTCTGACTCTGGGCCTCTACAGATCTAAGGCTGTTTTTTTCTTTATAAATATGGATAACACTTTGAAACAACTCATACATACACACACACACACGCGCACACATACATATACATTTTTCTTTCTTTTTATTCAAGTAACATACTTTTTTTGGTGGGAAGTATAAATGCATATTGGAAAAGGAAAAAAAAAATCTCAACTTTTATAGTCCAGGTTTGAGCACTGTTAACATTTTAGTGTTTATTCTTCCAGGAGAGGAAAGGAGGGGAGGGACAATTTACAGGTAGGGGACTAAGAGGTACAAACTATTATGTATAAGATAAGTTACAAGGATATGTTGTACAATACAGAGAATATAGCCAGTATTTTATAACTATAAATGGAGCATAACCTTTAAAAATTGTGAATCACTATACTGTACACCTGTAACATAATTTTGTGCATCAACTATATTTCAATCAAAAAGCCTATATATACACTTTAAATTGTTTGTTAAATATGTCTATAATGTTTATGGAGTATAAATAGAATACCAACAAAAGAGATAGTCTTTTTATCCATTGGTACTTTGCAAACCCTTGAACATCAATCTCTACTTGTATTTCTTCATTGAATTTTTATCATAGTTTTTATTTGTAGTTTTTCAGTTTATGTATATATCTCTGAACAGCATATTATTTAATTTTGCATTAACTTGTATATATGCTGTCATTTTGCCTGTGTCCTTCTGCAACTTTATGCATTTGTGAGGTTCATCCATATTAAAGGGTTTTACTGTGGTATGTTTCTTTTCACTGCTGTATAATATTTCATTTGATGTCTATACCAAAGTTTGTTTATCCAGTATCCAGTTGGTGGATGTTTGAGTGTTTTCCAGTTTTTTTGCTATTCCAAGTCATCCTGTTATGAGAATTCTTACACATGTCTTCTGGTGCAAATATCAAAGAGTTTCACTAACGTACACACCAAATGTAATATTTTATCGTCAATTTCACTACATGATGCCAGGTTACTTTTAAAGTAGATCTGTCAGTATAACTGTTAACAGTGTGTGTGTTTTCATTGTTCTGTGCCCTCTCTAAACTTGATATAGCTATACTTTAAAATTTTTGGCAGTCACCTCTTTGGTGAGTATAAAAGATAGTTATGGTTTTACTTTCCATCTCCTTGGTTACTGATAAAGATGTTTGTTGGCTTTTTACATATTTCCTCCTCTGTGAAACTTTTATTGATGTGTTTTATATGTGGCTTTTAAGAAACAGAAATGAGCTCATTTTAAAGATATATCATGAAGGTCTTTCCCATTTAGGAAATATGCCTCTACAATATAATTTATATGTTGTTATGTTGGTTTCTACCATACAACAGTGCACAACAGTGCAAATCAATCATTATATATAGCCTTTCCCTCTTGAGCTTCCCTTTCCACTCCCATCCCACCCCTTTGGGTCATCACAGAGCACCAGGCTGGCCTCCCTGTGCTGTCTAGAGACTTCCCAATAGTTATCTGTTTTACACACGGTAGTGTATATAAGTCAATGCTACCTTCTCAGTTCATCCGACACTCTCCTTCCCCTGCTGTGTCCAGTCATCTGCATCTCCATTCTTCCCCTGAAAATATGTTCGTCAGTACTGCTTTTCTGGATTCCGTTATCTATGCATTAATGCACAATATTTGTTTTTCTCTTACTTCACTCTGTATAAGAGGTTCTAGGTTCAGCCATCTCACTGCAACTCACTCAGTACAACATAATCCCATTGGCAGAATATTTCTTGTATATTTCTTTACTTACTGACCCCTTGATGTTAGGTCATCTAGATTGTTTCATTATTTTCAGCAGTGATGCAGAGAGCACCTTTACAATTAGATCTCTGTAGGTTCATGATTCATTCTTTTAGGAGAATAAATACATTTCTAAAAGTGGAATTGTTGAGTCAAAAGGTATGAATAGTTTCAGATTTTTGATTCACATTGCCAGGTTGCTCTCTGAAAAGGTGTTATCTAATTTATATTCCAGCCAGCAATGAATGTGGGTGTTTGTATGCCTGAATAAGGAATCTTTTCGATGCTGTTTTTTCATCCATTTGCCTGATAATCTCTGTGGCCTATTGTCCATTTTCTTTTCCTTGTCTTCTTAAGTGTCCATGCTAGCAGTAGAAGAATATGAGGAAATGCAGGTGAACTTGGAGCTGGAGAAGGACCTTCGAAAGAAAGCAGAGTCATTTGCACAAGAGGTAAATGTCTTGCAGAGACCTCATTTTTTAGCTTTATATTTTAAAGAGCTTTGCAGGTGATATATGAAAACATTTTTTGAGGTTGAACAAACACTTGTCACTCTGAATAAAGATCATCTGATCTAGGGAGCTATGGAATAATATCAAGTTCACTGAACTTGGTGTCAGAGATCTGGGTTTACATTTTGCCATGCCATTCGGGGTAGTAGTTGTTTGTTACCAGCAGCTCTTAACCTCTTTGGGCTTCATTTTCACCATCTGTAAAATGGGTGATGATACCATTTTATTTATTTTTATTTATTGTGTGATGATACAGTACACTAAGTGTATTGTAAAATCAAATGGCATGAGTTTTCATAAGAATTTTATAAACTAGAAAATGCTATACTGGGAAAATAAATTGTATTTAGGGATACCCATTCCATCACATGGAAAGTCCAGTTTGAGTGGAGGACTTCTATATATTTCCAAAAGCCTTAAGAAACTAGGTTACATCCCAGGATACCATCTGAAAGAACAACATCATGGTCTTCAGTGACTGTTCAGTGCTCTCATTATATGCCTTGATTCTGTCACTTGCTGTGGAACATTGTTACACATGTTATATATCCATTATCCTAGCCTTTCCTCTCATGTTAGAGATAAGCTTTGAGCTTCTCATGCTCTGGGTTAACTTTGTTGACATGTGCTGGTTGGGTATTCCACGGCTCTGTGACTGGTTTCCAGGGAAATGATGAGGCATCAGTTGGCTGAGTTGTAACAGCTTATGATGTGTTATGTGTTAACAGCTTATGATATGATCTACATGAGATCTTCTCCATCATGTATAAACATTTTGAATCTGTGTGCATACTGTGGGTTCAAGGAAGGTAGCTAAGGAAATGTAAGCATTCTTAGGTGGAAGGTTTAGAAGGAAGACAAAGTGCAGGGTTATGAGAATGACATTTGAAGATCAGATGATGGTTTTGTGCAGGAGTTTTTCCATACTTGAAGGTAACTGTGGTAGCAATGAACCCTATAAAAGTTTAGTCTGAGAATATATAATTTGAAATATTATGATTCAGTTTATTCAGAGAGTTTAATGAAAGGTGAGTAAATATTTATTCTCTTATTTCTTGAAAAGAGGAAAAAGAATTGAAGTGTGTTAGAGCCGTTGAAAAATCTACAGCGTATAAATAATGGAGATAAAGAAATGGTTGAGGGGAGGGAGAGTAGAGATAACGTGAAAATGCCTCCATTGCAAAACTGAAAATGTTGGCTGATTTTGACCTGCATGCAAGGGTCTTAATTTTGAGAGACATTTTCAGTTTCCATTTCTTGTTTGCAGATGATGTTAGAATACAAAGCAGCTCAGAGAAAAACTTGAAGGCCATGCAGTAACAGAGAGGATAGATAGAAGAAGTAAGATTCCTTTAAGAATATAAAAATGAATGATTCATTCTTCCATGCAACCCGTAGTGACTGGTGCAAACAGTGCTGACAGGTTAATCCAGAATGAGGAGAGAGATGTTTGAGGAGGGAAAGTGAGAGCAGTGGTACTTAGCCTTCTGGTGTGTGTGCGCACGCGCTACGTTGCTCAGTCATGTCCAGCTCTTTGCGACCCCATGGACTATAGCCTGCCAGGCTCCTCTGTCCATGGGATTTTCCTGGCAAGAATACTGGAGTGGGTTGCCATTTCCTACTCCACACTGCTGGTAGCATAAGTATTTGCAACAGTGCTCGATGATTTTATAGTATCTAAGGCTTGATCTACACAATAGTAAGAAGAAAAGACAAAACTGAATTAGAACTGGTATATCTTCCCTTTTACATGGTTTATAGATTCTCAGGTTTTCAACAGACAACTGCTGTTAAAAGGTATCTGACTTAACTAGAGAAATATCACTTTTGCATTTTGTTCTTAGTGCATTCAGCAAATATCTTTCAAGCCAGACACTGTGTGGGTAGTGGAAATTACGGTGAAGAAGGCAAATACAACTCCTGCCCTGTTGGAGTATATAGTGCAGAGCCATAGAAATCATTTTTTAAACTTAATGTAGGTCACCTTTTTTAACTGCAAAAGGAAGATATATACCCTGCAAACATGCAAACAGTTCTCAAATGTGTAAATTCAAAATTGAATGTTTCTTCCTTACTCTTCTACATTTGTCCAGTTAAAAAACCAAAAACATGATCACTTACAAGGAGGAAACAGCCAGTTGTCCTCATAACTATGTTAAGTGTTTGTATTTCTTCAACATAATTTCAACTCTTGAAACCTTTCCTGTACTTTTTGAATGTATATTTTTTGCTGCTTAGTGTGGTTTTTCTTTCCTCTGTTTAAAGATGTGAATACTTTTTCAACATGTAGTCCTAATATACTGAGGGAATGTTACATAATAAGTTTTATTTTCAGACAACTGAGATGATAATATTTTAATGTTATTTTTGAAAGAATGAATTATATGTTAATGATACTACATTATCTTCTCATTCTTTGAAGAGATGTAGGAAAATTTCTCTGAAATTCTGATACCAATGTTATTATTTGTCTGATAAGGGACCAAGGTTAATAACTCTAACCAAGGATAAGGTTAATAACACTGACCAAGAAGTTCTTTCCATAGCTAAAAGCCAAATTCATTAGTGTTCGGTAGCTGAATTTTCTTTAAATACATCTTTAGAAAAGGCATTATGTAGTGTTTTATTTTAGTACTGTAAAGTCTAGAAAAGGTGGTCTAAAGACTAATATTTTTCAAGTTGCCATTGTTATTGAAAGGAACTTCTTTTCTGTATGTTCTTTTCATCTTATATTGCAATTTAGGGATTGTTACAGGGCTTTGCAAAAGAAATTCATATTATTAACATCCCTAAGACACAGTCTATTCTTTTCTAAAATAACAGTTGAAAAAACTTATAATCATGCATGTTAAGCAAGTTTTCCTGAGAGCTATACCTTTTCCCTAGAGAGAACCAGAGTACAGAGAAGCGGTGCAGGGAGAGCCATAAAGGCACCCCTGGCCTCGGGGGTCCTTGTGCCCTGCACTGTCTGACCGCGGGGCCCTTCGCCTCTGCCCTGGTCAGCCTCGCTGACTGCTTCCTCTCTGTCTGCTCCCGGACTCAGAGCACCCTTGGTGAAAGGCCTCACTTGCTGGGGAGCCAGAGAATCTCAGTTGTTTTGGTTGCATTTGTTGGCCTTTCACGTTGACTGTGAGATATTTTCTAAGGTACCAACATAAGACTCCAACCAGTTAAGTTTTAAGAGGGGAAAATGTATAACAAATAAATTGCTGTAATATTATTATTCAGTAGTAACCTGAAACAAATCATTTCAATTAGACCATTGGCCTCAACTTTAAGACTATGATGGAATGTTGCTTATGCTTCCCTCATGCGTGGATGCCCCCTGTCTCACTTTTCTCCAGCCCAGCACTTGTGCACTCATGGATACTTACTCATCCTCTGTTCCTGTTCTTACATAGCCATCAGATGGAAGAAGAATGTAAATTTCACTTGCAAATGTTGCTCTAGTATAAAGTGGGCCTGATTTCAGAATTTGTAAAGCATTTTGTGTTCAGACTCGCCCACTGGCTGACTTGTGTGGCATATTAAGGAAAAGAAGTAATAGGTGAATAGGAAATAATGTCGCTTTCAACCATGAAAAGTTGTGAAGATTAGGTTAAGAGTATATGTAAATTGTGTAATAAAATGCTTAGTTTAATTAATATACCTTTTTCCTTCTCCTCTTTACCCTCCTGCTGTTAACTACTTTTGTCACTGGGGAGAAGCTGATTGGTTTAAGACAAAAATCTTAGGTCTAGTAAATAACAGAGAAAGAGATTAGGTAGATGGTGAAGAGCATGGGCCTGTAAATCAGACAGATCTGGGTTTAAATCCTGGGTTTTGCCACTCACTGGTGTCTTTGGGAAAGCTGCTTAACTCCTCAGAGCCTCGGTTATCTTATTAGTAAAAGTGGGATAATAATAGTGTCTACTTGACAGTGGTGTTCTAAGGATTAGATGATAAACTGCATGTAAAATGATTGCTGCCACACCTATCCCATAGTCTTGAATATGTTTTAGCTTCTTATAGCAGATGCATTCACTTCACAGGGATTGATGTAAAGGATTAAAATAATGTGTAGAACGTATTTAGTAGAATATCTGGCATAAGTTCTTGATATATATTAGCTGCTACTGCTAGTATTAATATATTTTAAGGCAATAATAAAATATTAAAAACTGCAGTATAGGACTAAACTACTGTATATATACTATGCTGAGACAAAGGTAAAGGTTCTAAAGGTTATATCAAAGTTATGAATGAAAACTTATCATAGTACTCATTACTTCTAAAATCATCATGCTCCCATTCAGAAATCGCGTTTACCTTTTTAATGAAAACTCCATCTTTCTTTTTGGTCAAGTTGCTGTTGAGGCTTGTGAGCATGATTGAATTTTTTTTTTTATAATTAACTTTTGTAGATGTTTATCGAACAGAACAAGCTAAAGAGACAAAGCCACCTTCTACTACAGAGCTCTGCTCCTGACCGGCAGCTTTTGAACGCATTAGATGAAAATGCAAAACTCGTCCAGCTCCTTGAAAAAGAGAGAATTCAGCATCAAGAAAAGGTAACAGATTTTTCTTCTGGGTTTTTAATGCACACACATCCTTAAACTGAGAGGAGTTGGTCCAGAAGCTCATAGTTCCTTATTTGGCTTGAGTTACTAAGTCTTTCCAGTGTTTTCACCTTTTAGGAAAAAAACTACCAAATGAACTTATAGTACCCATCTAAAATTTATAGTGCCCTGTTGTAGGCTCTATTGTTGTTGTTTAGTTGCTAAGTCATGTCTGACTCCTTTGTGAACTTGTGGACTGTGGACCACCAGGTTCCTTCTGTCCATGGGATGGGATTTCCCAGGCAAGAATACTGGAATGGGTTGCCATTTCCTTCTCTAGGGGATCTTCTGACCCAGGGATCGAACCCACATCTCGTGTGTTGGCAGATGGACTCTTTACCACTGAGCCACTAGTAGAGTTTATAGGGATTTTTAAACCATCCAAAGGATCAGAAGAAGGGAGGCAGAGAGAGACAACTCAAAAAGGGCTTGGATAATGCAGTTTGGAAATCCATGAGTCAATTGTGGTTTTGGAGAGTGCATACACTAGGAGAGTGTATTGTGATTGGTCCCAAAGAACTTGCTGGAGGGCATAGGTTTTATTCAAAGAGGGAGGAAAAGTCAGTGTTAGTAGTAATTGTTTGCTTAGAGAAAATTTCTGATTTTGTAAACTTGCACAAATGTATATGTTTAAAGGCTTCCTAAGTGGTTATTTCAATTTGTTTGAGTAGAGTTACTCCAGCTGACACAGCCTGCCTCTGTGTGCTCAGCAGAAAGGATAGTCATCATGGTGGGTGAGGAGGAGAGGCAAACAGGTGGAACAAAGCCTTTTAAATTAAAGAAACCACTTAAGACAAACTGCATCGTATTCATGCTACTTACAGTGTCCCTAGTTGGTGAGGGAAAGGCTGTTAGCTGCCATTTGCTGGCACCTGTGGAAGTCTCTTTAAGCAACACTGTTGACACTTAGTCCTTGGATGTTCCCGGAGTTTTTACCGGGAGTTGTAGGTAGAGTTGTATTTTTGAGTTGTAAGGTAGAGTTAAATTTTTTTTTCTTCAATAAGAAATGTTGGTATATATGTAGGGAAGCTCTAAATGAATACATGGTAATAGTGCTTGGCCCTGGGAAAGTGCCCTGGGGGATAGGATGGAAGGGACTTTTTTTTTTTTGTCCCCATATGCAGGAATTACCTTTTCAAATAAAGAGAATGAAAGAATGTTTATTTCTATTTAGCTTACTACTGGAATTTTCTGATTCAAAAAAAGATCTACTACTGTTGTTTTAGTCGCTAAGTCATGTCTGACTGTTTGTAACCCCATGAACTGTAGCACGCCAGGCTCCTCTGTCCATGGGATTTCCCAGGCAAGGATACCGGAGTGGCTTTGGGTTGCCATTTCCTTCTCCAGAGGATCTTCCTGACCCAGAGACTGAACCCAAGCCTCCTGCATTGCAGGTGGACTCTTTACTGCTGAGCCACCCGAGAAACCCTCTTCTGCATGTAGTTACCTCATTAAATAATGTGTGCTGAGAACCTAGTAAATTATATTGAGGATGGGACTAAATTATTGGTTGTATACCTTGTTGGGGTAGGGTACTGAAGAGTATATATAAGTTATAAATGAAATTAGAGCAATCAATACTTCTAAACCTATTTTACTGTGCTGTTATTCTGGATAATCTTTCAGGTTTGTGGTTGAAAATATTTCTTACCTGTCTATAAGTTCCCTTGCAAATTCAGCAATCTTCAAAACACAACTGTGTTGTTTTTATTATAATAAGGAAATCTTAAAAATATAGAAAAAGCTAAAGCAGAAAACTAAGATTAATTAAAACTTCCATATTTTGGTGCATATCCAAACTTTATGTAAATATATAGTTTTATGAATATAGTTTAAATGGGATCATGGCAAGCATATTGTTCTATAACCCGATTTTTTTCCATTGGTAATATATTAATATCTTCCTATGTCAGTGTATAGTGAGGTATGTGATTTAAAATTTTTGCATAGTATTGATATTTCACTTAATGAACACTATAATTTATTAAATCAATAATATTGGTGGACATGTAGCTTATTTCCAAAATTTCCTTGTTGCAGAGAATGCTCTAATAAATGTATTTGAACACCTGTCTACTTCTCTAAAACAAATTCTAGAAGTAATGTTACTGAATCAAAGGGACTTTTCCTTCCTTTTTTTTGTGTGTGTGGTTTTTGTTATTTGTTACCAAATTGTCCCATCAGGACTCTTTTTAATATTACCTGAGTTTTTCTTTTGAAAATGGGCATAGAAGTGTTAATCTGTTTTAAATGAAGTTTTTACTTATATGAATATTGAGAACTGAATTTTCTGGGATGTAAGTCTCTAATAAATTTATATGAATCACATTACTGATAATATAAGTATTATCTGTGGTGGTGGTGATGACTTACTTGCTAAGTCATGTCTAACTCTTGGGACTCCATGGACTGTAGCCTGCCAGGTTCCTCTATCTATGGAATTTCCCAGGCAAGAATTCTAGAGTGGATTGCCATCTCCTTTTCCAGGGAATCTTCCTGAGCCAGGGATCGAACCTGCGCCTCCTATATTGGGCAGTCTCCTACATTGCGGGCAGATTCTTTACCAGCGAGCCACCACCGAAGGCCCAGTATTATCTGTATCCCAGGATTTGTGTGATTTTTTAGAGATGAATTGAAATCTCTTTGCTCTGAAATGCAAAGTAAAAGAGAAAAATTTGTTTTTCCCCTTGTTTTCCTTGACAAAGGAAAAACTGTTATCACTGTATAAAAAGTCTATTTATAATTTATAGGTCAAAGAACTAGAAGAGCAGCTACAGAATGAAACTCTCCACAAGGAGATAAACAGTCTCAAACAGCAACTGGAGCTTCTCGAAGAAGATAAAAAAGAACTGGAACTGAAATATCAGAATTCTGAGGAGAAAGCTAGAAATTTAAAGCATTCTGGTAAAAACACTGAGTAGGCTATTATGTCTTAGTATTAATATGTGAATCTTTCATGGCTAGTACATTTACTGAATGCTCTGAATTCTATAGAAAAATTCCAAGCGTTCTTTTAAATTCCCTCATTTCTGACTATTGCAGTTCAGTGGAATGATCACTGTAATCAGATGATTCACAAATATTTAGACTTAGTTTTTGAACTCAGAGCTTTTGTGAGAATCACATACAGAATTAAAAGATAGAGATACAATTAATATAGGAAGACCAAAACTTCAGCATTTCTCAGGGTTTCAGAGATGAGTGTTCATTAAGTACTTATTTTGTTGATTTTAGGGTGTATTTTTAAAAAGTAACTTTTCAGGTTCATACTACCTTCATCTTCGATGTCTAATTATACACATGAAATACTGCCTTCAATATCACACCTATCAGTAAAATGGGCAACAATATATATATTAAATGGAAAAACTTTTAAAACACCAGGGGATACTTAAATGATGTATTCATTCAGTTCTAGAAGGCTTAACAGGAATGTGAGTTAGATTACTACACAGGGATAAATAATAAGTTTCTGTTGGAAAGTAAGTAATTTAAGGAGTCAGGTTGTTCCCTTTATAACAGCTTCAATATTCACTTCAGATATTTTTGGTTAATTTTATACTAGAATTTTGAAATCTGTACAGAAGAATCAAGTAGGCTTTTTTTCCTTTGAAAAATATTCAGTGCTTTCTAATCCACAATGAAAATTTATTTTTTTTAATTTATCTAAAATTAAGAAGTAGTTCATTCTTTTCGTCTGCTGTGTATATACTCAGCCATACCCAGTACCCTGGGGTGCTATAAGAAATATAGAAGAAAAGAAACCATGCTTTTTTGTCCATGAGGATCTCATTCCCTTTAGAGAAATAGACACATGTGTATGAAATAACTAGAGAATACTTGGTGTTGGAGAACCTAGCCTGGCCTGCTTATTTAAGTGCTGGCAATAAAAACAAATGGACAGGTTATTGGGGTACAATTAGTCATGGAAAATAGAATGACTGCATAGAGGGAGAGCTTTTCCTGAGAACAGTACCTGTAGCCCATGAGAGCTCAATTAGAGGCATTCACATCTGTGCTATAAATTTAAATTGAGTTTTCTGGCAGTCAGGAACTATGTCTTAAACAGCACCTAGCACAGGCTCTTTTCACATTGTTGGAGCTTAGTCAGTACTTATTTTATTAATGGCTTGAATGAATTGAATGAATAAATTGTATTTCCAGAATGCTCTTCAAAAGAGCAAAAAGTTTCTGAGTTAGACATTTGAGAGTCTGAGTCTGGTTAAGATGATGAACTCTAGGATTTGCAGCTCTGAAGGAGATTAAGTGGAGGAGGAAAGTATGCTATTAAAATTCATTACTAAATGTCATCTTTAAAATTAATTCAATTCTTGGTCTATACACTTTAAAAGTCAAATATTAACAGTTGCTTAGTGTTTGGGTGGCATATTCCATTCTTCAATATTTCTTCAGCCTACTCAGTCCTTACTTCCCACCCATCCAGCCATTGTCTTGATTTTTTTTTTCCTTTTCCATAGTTTGTACATATAGCAAAAAGATGGTAATTTCTTGGTAATGTATATAAGGTCTCTCTCACTGATGATAAAAAGTTTAAAAGGCTCTGCAGCTTCATACTGGAATTTCTAACTTTGCCCTAGTAAAAGCATATGATTGTGAAAGAGGTGGGTTTTTTCCCTTTACATGTATATAAGGTGCTCAGTTGCTTATTTCACCTTTTTTTCCCGAATGCTTGCTCCCTGTGCAGTTGATGAGCTCCAGAAGCGGGTGAACCAGTCTGAGAATTCAGTGCCTCCTCCACCACCTCCTCCCCCACCGCCTCCTCCCCCTCCTCCCCCCAATCCTATCCGGTAAGCACATCCAGGAAGACCGCTCTGCGTCAGACGTTAGTCCTTGTCCGAGAAACTGAAGTTTGTGTTATTGATATCCTTTTTAGAGAATACTGGCTTAGAATGCATCATTAGACAGGGGTAAAATGTTCGAAAGATATCAGCAGGTGTTTCAGAGAATTTTCTGAAGGCCAGTGTATCATTCCCTTCTTACAAAATATTGTTGTTTAGCTGCTAAGTCGTGTCCGACTCTTTGGAACCCCATGGACTGTAGCCCTCTAGGCTCCTCTGTTCATGGGATTTCCCAGGCAAAAAAACTAGAGTAGGTTACCATTTCCTCCTCCAGGGGATCTTCCCAACCCAGGGATCAAACCAGCATCTCCTGCATTGCAGGTGGATTTTTTTTACCACTGAGCCACCAGGGAAGCCCATCTCTTGTAATATATTTACGGTCTTAAATACCTGTCAAAGACATCTTGTGGCCTACAGTGTCCTTCTTATAGATATTCCGGTTTCATGTGGATGTTCCAAGCTGAGGAACTAGACATAAAAACTTTTTTTGATACTTCAGTTTTAAACTTTCCGTCCTTGTCATTAGGATTTTCTTTCACCCTTTAACCAGAAGATCAAGGAATTTTGAGCTTCTCCAGAATGTTTTCATGTTTTTCTCTCACTAATTTGAAAAGCTACAGTTTGTTCAGTTATTCAAAAAAATAAAAATACTGAACTAATAAAAACCTTACAGCTCTTATTGTTGTAAACTAGTAATTAAACTAAAAATATAATTAACTCCTTAACCTCATATTTAAACTGTTAATAACGCTGACTGAGTTACATTCCATAAGAAGAAATTATGTTTAAATTCTTGCAACAGGAAATCACATATCAGGACAAAAAATTTGCTTTTTCTGAGCCAAAGGTGACTTGATGATGCCAGGGAGCTTGAGTTAAGCACAATACACCCCAGGACATCTTTAGTCAAATTCTGCCTTTTTTGTGGTTTTTCAGTCTACCATCCATGTACATAAGACAACCTACCTGCTGTGTGACAGTTTACCTCCTCATTTTATGATGTTAACCACTTGTGTGTAATTTATTCTTGATCAAATGAAATTTAAAGCTTTGATAGAGTTTTACCTTTCATTAACTCATGTGATTTGTTTAATCCGTTCACACAGAGAGGCCATTTATTCGTACTTTGCACCTTTACGGATCCATCTCAATAGAATGAGTAACATGGTCCTCCCACACGACCATGAAAATGGAACTCTGCCTTTTAAAAAGATTCTCATTAGTTTTCCTTACTGAGTAGGGTATGACATAATCCACTTTAAGCCATTGAAGTAGTTAAGGCAAAATAATTTTTACACGTGATCGATCTAAGAGTCAATTGAAAGAATTTCAGGTATTTTAAATTCTTTCTCTCCTGGGTCGCTAAAGCTGTAGGAGATATTCTGAATTTGACATTTAAAATAGAAAGTTCATCACTTTGATCTTTTGCTAAGGTCTAGAATTTTGGGCTTGATAAGAAAGGTCACTTGTGTCTGTGAGGAGAGGGAACTATTAAAAACCAATTATTAAAAAAAGAAACACCAATTATAATCCTGCTGTTGGCCTTTAAGTTTTAGTCTCTGAAATCTTGAGAGCCCTTCAAATTAAAAGTAAACTAACCTAAATAGAGTATTTTCTCAAAGAGCACCCTACAGTTATACTGAGAAATGAAACTAGAATGCAGAGTATGTATGTCTAAAACATGAACTCCTGTAAGGCCCATTACTGAAAATTTTTATTGAATAGCATGAATGATTTTTCTTTTAAGATGAATTTAAATAGTATAAGACAAAGACATAATTTCTCAGTAGAAAGAGATTTTCATTTTTTGATAAGGAGTACTTTCTTGTCAAAGAAATATATTTGCATATGTATTGAGTTTCACAAGGTTTTCCAATGTTGTTCCTGAGCTGTTTGTTTTATTGTGGTGTAGGTCCTGGATAGAAGTGAAAGTGGGAAAAAAAGACTAGGGCCTGTGGCCTCTTTCAGGGGCTTTATTGGGCCCCTCCTCCCCCGGTCCCACTTTCTGCTCATTTGACCAGGAGGATGGATGGAAGACAGATAAGAGAGGAAGAAAGCATACCTTGGTCCTTTTGTAGTAGCCAAATGAAAGGACAGGCTCATGGGGAAAGAGTAGGGTGTGTTAGTGTGTAGGGTTATAGGGTTCTCCAGAGGAACAGAAGCAATGGGGGGATGGTGTACATGTGTCCACATACATCGTATACATAAAAAGAGAAGGTAGCCCAAGTAATTGGTTCACGTGACTATGGAGGCTGACCAGTCCCAGGATCTGCAGGATAAATCAGCAAGCTGGAGACCAAGGAGAGCCTGCAGTGTAGTTTCAGTCTGAAGATCAGCAGGCTGGAGACCCAGGAAGAGGAAGTGTTTCAGTTTTCGTGACTTAGAAGGCAAGAGAGAGCAGATGTCCTAGTTTCAACGCAGGAGAATTTTTATCTTACTTAGGGGTGCATGCTAAGTAGCTTCAGTCGTGTCTGTCTCTTTACGACCCTGTGGACCATAGCCCACCAGACTCCTCTGTCCATGGGATTCTCCAGGCATGAATACTGGAGTGGGTTTCAAAATGCCCTCCTCCAGGGGATCTTCCCAACCCAGGGATTGAACCCGCGTCTCTTTCATCTCCTTCATTGGCAGGCGAGTTCTTTACCGCTGGCACCACTTGGGAGTCCCCTTTACTTGGGGGAGGCTCACCCTTTGGTTGCATTCAAGCCTTCAACCAACTGACTGGGGCCCATCCCACATTAGGGAGGACATTCCACTTTACTCAGGCTACCAGTTTATTTTTTTTAAAGCTTTTAACATATATGAACCATGTTTTAGCCTTTATTGAATTTGTTATAATATGGCTTCTGCTTTTGTGTTCTGGCTTTTTGGCCGAGAGGCATGTGGGATCCCACACCCTTGCCTTGGCGGGTGAAGTCTTAACAGAGCACCGGGGAAGTCCCCAGGCTACCAGTTTAGATGTTAATCTCATCCGGAACCCTCAGAGAAGCACCCAGAATACTGTTTGACCACATATCTGAGTGGGCTTCCCTGGTGGCTCAGATGATAAAGAATCTGCCTGCCGTGTAGGGGACCATCTTCAATTCCTGGGTTGGGAAGATTCCCCTGGAGGAGAACACGGCAGCCCACTCCAGTATTCTTGCCTGGAGAACCCCATGGACAGAGATGCCTGGTGGGCTACAGTCCATGGGGTGACGAAGAGTTGGGCACGATTGCACACACACGTGTGCACATGCACACACACCTCTCTCTGAGTACCCTATGACCCAGTCCAGTTGACTCACAAAATTAACCATCAAAGCGGATGTGAAGAACACTAGAACAATTTCCAGATGAATACTTCCACCTGGGGCAATTTTTGCCAGAGATTTGACTGACTAGTCTCAGATGTCTTGTCCTGGTCTTCTCATCTGTCCTGTGAAATCCACGCTAGTTTCTCTTTAGTCTTAGCACCAGCTTGTCAGAGAGCTCTTTATAATAGTACAGATGACTTTCCTGTGGACACCACATCAGTCTTCAACTTGTACTCCAGAACATTTAAAGCTCACACTTTCTCTCATCCACTTAGGTGGTTTACAGGGAAGGACATCTGTTCTCATTCATTTACGTAAATATATACAACTGTTCTGAGCAGTACAAATAACTTCTTGCTCTGTAATCTTTTCGTACAGTAATACACATTCCCAAAACTTCCTCTCAGAAGCAGAGGTGGGGTGGTTACAGTGTTGTGAGAGATTAAAGAGAGGCCTCGGACTAGTGACAGTCCCCGCCTCCATGCACCCTACCCTGCTTTGGAATGTTAACAAGTAGACCCTGTATTCTGCTGCCTTTTAGTTGACAGAATGGAAAAAAGTAAATTTTTACATTATTTCCTTCCTCCTCTTGAGTCCTTTCCTTTTATTTTCTTAAAAGTTTTTTTTTTTTTTTTTTGCCTACATATATATCCCTAAACTACTTTAAATACTTATCTAGTCTGTTAGCTGTTTCTGAATTTTAAACATGGATACTGAAAGATTTTCTGTATCTATTTTACTTTATAGATGTCTCTGCATCATATTAATAATAATGTTAGCAGCCTCCTTCTTCCAGTAATTAGTTTGGTTTTACACAGGAAAGGGATGGGACATCTTTCTCTTTCTTACAGTGATGAAAAATTTAACAATTTATTGAAAGTGTAAGTAGGCTACTTATACTACTGTACCACTATTAAGTAGTAGGATACTTAAATGCTAGTTCTATATTCACATACTTAGAGAAGAGTTGGATTTTTACTGATTATTTGGAACCTGTACCTTCTATTTCTTGGCTCTTAAGTCATCTGCTAATCTCCTATCAATCTTTTTTCTTTCTCGCAAAGATCCCTCATGTCCATGATCCGGAAGAGATCCCACTCCAGCAGCGGTGGTGCCAAGAAAGAAAAGGCAGCTCAACCAGAAACAAGTAATTCTAATGCACCTCCCTGGGTTCACTTTTTAAGTTGTTGATGATATACAGTTTTTCAGCAATAGATGTACTTGTTGGGCTCTTTGACTATGAACAGATTGTTGGGGAGAAATTTGAACTTAACAACTATAAGAATAGTTGTTAAGAAAAAGAACAGCCATTGCCTTCATGTAGCTTACCATCTGGAGCAGATGAACACATGTCACTGTAATGTGAGGGATGCTGGAAATGTGTTTTCACTAAGGGATGAGGTGCTTTGGGGTGTAATTCCAGATGAGGAATTTGGGAAAAGGCTTTTACAGTTGGTAGCAAGTGAACTGAGACTTTGTCAAGTATTTGCTCTGAACCCTCCAGGGCTGTCCTGTGTACTGGAGATACAAGATGTAGAGTCACATTTGAGTGAGGGAAGCAGGAAGTAGACCCAATAATTACCAGTTCAGTCTATAATTATTTAAGTTCGTTTTGGAATCAGTACTGTGGAGGAGTGACTATTGGTACTGTTTTAAGAGGTTATAGAGGTAGACTGCTGGGTGTCAGCAAGTGATGTTTCAGCTGAGTAGTTGTGGATTTAGATGGTCAGGGTATTTAAGGTAAAGTATAATAGATCACACAGAAGGGCAACAATTCAAAGGTCTGGAGTGGGCAAGGAGCTTGGCATATGAGGAAACTGAAAAAAAAAAAGTTGATATTATTAGAACATGGGTGCAAGAGAAGTCTGCTAGGTAGGCAGGAGCCAGATTCTAGAGGCAGTGATCAAGATTTTGGTACTTATTCTAAGGAGAGTAGATGTTTAAGTAGGAGGGTAACACGAGATGCATTTTTTGTGAAACATCACACTGGCTACAGTGAGAGAACAGAGAAAAGACTACACAAGTGACAGCAGGTGAGGGGAGACTGTTCAGACAAACTTATTCAGACTTATTCAGACAAACGTTGATGGGGCTGAGATGAGGGTGGTAGCAGAGAGAGAAAGAAATGGATAAATTCAGGAGCTGTTCAGGGAGGTAACATTCACGGGACTCTGATTCTTTGGAGAGAGAGAAGTTGAGGATAGGGAGAGATGGGAATGGAGAGAAGAGCTTTCCTGTTGAGCCAAGGCACCAGGTGGGTAAGTGCCAAGTCAGAGCTCAGAGCCGTGGGCAGTTTGATGTGTGGCCATGTTGAAATCAAAAGCTTGAAATGCCAGGGCCAAATCTTGGCCCTTTATGCCTGAGAACTGTAGAACCCAAATTAAACTCCACAATGTTTGCTCAACCCCCGTTACTTACAGAGCATGGTGGGTTTCCCTGGTTCAGGCCCAGATGAGTGGACACTTCTTGGCTCCCTTTTCCTGCCCCTGGGTCTCCTAGCTCCACTCCAGCCATGTTCATACCTCTGCAGTGCAGTGTTCTCAGATCCTGGGTCTAACAGAGTTGTCCTTCATCTTACCACATTTCTGTGCTGCCCTATGAGGCAGAATAGAATCCAGAGCCCTGTGGTCTGCTTAGAGATGGTTTTCTGCCTTTACTGTGTAGCCTCATTTCTCATAGGGCTTTCCTGGTGGCTCAGGCGGTAAAGAATCCACCTGCAGTGCAGGAGACCCAGTTCTGATCCCTGGGTCAGGAAGATCCTCTGGTGAAGGGAGTGGCCACCCACTCCAGTATTCTTGCCTGGAGAATCCCATGGACCGAGGATTCTGGCGGGCTACAGTCCATGGGGTCGCAAAGAGTTGCACGTGACCGAATGAGCAACACTTTCACTCCCATTTCTATTACATGTACTTCACCATGTGGCTGGCCCTTGCCCATAAGTTCCCCGTGTGTTCATTCCTGTCTTTCCTCATCCCACAGTTGTCCTCCTGCCCTCCCTCTACCAAGGTGCTGTCCTAATTCCATGTCTCCCATCAGATTCCAGGCATATTGTCTGGTGGGTTCCTTGGCTCTTCCTCCTTTTCTCTTATGTATTAGTATTAATAATCCAGAATGAATGGCCCCATTACTGTGTGTTGCTATAGCAGTTGGCTTCAAATTTTGTTCCCATAAGGATTTAATGTCCCACCCCAAGACTCTGCTCTAGGTGTTGGAGTTATTTCTACATCTCTCCCCCTGAGCAGATTGCAGACTGTGAAGGTTCACTCCTCTCTGCAGCCATCCACAGCTTTCATGCATATTGATTGAATCAAAGTTTAGACTTAGTCTTTTCTTCTTAGCAAGCACCTTGCAGCATCATTACAGACAAAAGCTGTTTGATTGTATCTGTGTGGACTGACTTTTTTGGCTTGCCTCCTGCAGCCTATTGTAATCCCACTAAAAGGTAAATTCTGCTTTGCCAGGGCATTGCAGGATTTAGAAGTCCTGGTTTCTGTGATCTGCAGGGCAGCCCTGCTCTTGGATTACTGATTACTGACTGTAAGTCTTCCCTGACACTTGTAATTAAGATTAAAATTTTGTTTGTTTCAATCTCGTTTTGGGAAAATGGTTAAGTCTTTCAGGGTCAGGAGAAAGTCAGAATAAAATAAATTCCCCATCTCAATAAATTGAATATTAGCTTATCAAATTAGCAAATCAAACCAGTCAATCGTAAAGGAAAATCAGTTCTGAATATTCATTGGAAGGACTGATGCTGAAGCTGAAGCTTTAATAATTTGGCCACCTGATGTGAAGAACTGACTCATTAGAAAAGACCCTGATGCTGGGAAAGATTGAAGGCAGGAGGAGAAGGGGACGACGGAGGAGGAGATGGTTGAATGACATCCCCGACTTGATGGACATGAGTTTTAGCAAGCTCCGGGAGCTGTTGATGGACAGGGAAGCCTGGCGTGCTGCAGTCCATGGGGTCACCAAGAGTCGGACATGACTGAGTGACTGAACTGAACTGATGAACCTCAGCAGCATCCTTAAATTGAAAATAAAAGTGTTCTGGAACTTATTAACTCCAAGTATTAGAAACCATGCAGTTTTCCTGAAGCAAATGATATTTCATTTACAATTCATGAAATACGGCAGCATTTTTCTCCCTCATCCTTGAGCTATTGACTTGTTACTTAGGGAATCTAAGTAGTTACTGACATCTAAGGCATTGCTCAGGAGACTTTTAGACGGGAGCCACTAAAATCATACTGCCTTAATGATAGGTACCATATCCATACTTTGTCTGGCAAGGTAGTTGTCTATAGCGTCTTGTTAATCATTTGCACTAAAAATTGTCATTGAGTAAATGTCAGTGAGTAAATGCATGATGAAGGACGTAGAGCGTCACACACTGCGGTCAGCTGAGACGCTTTGGAGTTTGCACTTATAACGTAGGAACCAGCCCTGCATTAGCATCATATTATGGCTCTTACTGTACAGTTGGTCTGCTTTTCAGTTTTGCAGTGGAGAAGTATTTCTTGCTAGGTTATGACTCTTCAAAAGCTTGATTGTAGGGAAGGCCTTTGAAATATTTTAGAAGTAGTCCTAAGATCTCAATACAAGAAAGCATGACATACTTTGCAGTTAATAACTCTAATTTTGATGAGTGCATTTATTGAATAGGTTCTGAGATTTGAGAGGTATGCTTGCTCTTTATCGTATTTGATGTTTAGGTCACTTAATTTGTTGATATTGTCTTACCTCAGTTTGCTAATCTGTAGAATGGGACTAATAGTCCCTATTTCATGGGATTGTTCTGAGAATTACGAGTCTCACCACAGGTAAAGTATTTAGAGTAGTGCCCAGAACATAGAAAATACTCAAAACGTTCAGTAGAAAAATACAGACATGGTACCAACCACCGTGAAGGGCAGAAGTCCTCCTTTGGCAGACTCTCGTGATCATTGTCATTTAGGAAATTTTCTTAACTTTATGGTCTTAGGTCAAATCAAAACTCATTCAACCATGATGTGTTCTTAAGAAATTTTGTACCTCATGATGACTTAAGTTTTTTAAATGCCTTTAAAAATAATGTTACCGAAAAAAAAAAAGTTACCGAAAGTGAAAAGTAAACCGGTGAAATTTAGAAATTCATTTTAGTTTCCTCTAGGTAGTAACAAAAGGTTTTACTGAGCAATAATGTAGTGGTTTTGTCTGTGAGTCTTTTTTTTTTTTTTTTGAAGAGCTAACTTATTTTTCAAGTGGGTCTTAAAATTTAAGCCTCAATTAATTACATGTAGCTTTCTGATCCAAGACTGACCTTGAAGCACTAACTCAAAGAACATTTGATTTTATTTTCCTGTGGCAGTTCAATAACATTACACCCCTTGTCTTCGTTGGTCCCTTTTCTTTAATCTCCAGTATCCTGCATATTTCTATTGTCCCCCTGATTACATGCTTTTGTGAGACAATTACCAACTGCATGAGTGCAGAAAAGAATTACAAAACATACCATGAGCTCTCTGTAGGTGATTCTTGCAGATTTATTAGAACTGCTTAATAGTTCAGAAGTTCGTGTAGATTGCTTTTTGCTAGTTCAAAAACAGCGTTGGTGAGAGAGAGAGCTTGTGTAGCTAACCAAGCCTCGTATTGTGCCTGAGTAGGGAATCTGATCAGAATGATTTCTTTTCCTTAAGACCAATTAAGCCTTTACATTTGAAAAAGCCTGAGACATTAAAGCCTGGTTTATCATCTGTACACAATGCAGATAGTGGCACTTCTCTGAATTATCACTATGATTCTGGCAAGCAAAAATAAGAAACTACTTTAAATTCCTGCTATGTTAGATGCTGCAGCAGATCTGAATGGTGTTGACCATAATTCTCCATCTGTCTGCCTTAATTAGTTTTTGTATGGTGCATTTAATTGGGTTTCAATCATTCCTTACAGAGTGCTAATCTGTTTGTAGGCGGTGTTCCCGTTGCCGTGCGGCTCTTCCCAAGTCTTAGTCAAAATGGCAGCCTTTCTGAATATCAGATATTTTCTGAAGATTTTTTTTTTTAATTCCCAGGAATAAATGCCATACCCTCACCAGGTGCTTGAATGACAGATATGGGTCTTACTTCCTCTCATTCTGAAAAGGGTCAGCAAAAGCGCTGTGTGGTGTGCAGTAGGTATTTAGATATTGAATGAGTGAGTGAATGAATGAATTTCTATTCATAGTGATTTTCTTGTCTGTCCCCTTGTTGATGTTCTTGAGCAGAGGTGGCCCTAGAATATACTGCTTGAGGGCACGTCGTTGATCCTTCTACAGTTTTGTCATCCATCTGTTGGTGGATGCGTTCTCACTTTGGTGCCATGTCTCCCATGTTGTCTGGCAAAAGATACTTATTTTAACTTCTAGAACTGTAAAATGCTGTTTGGATACTGAGAAATTTGAATTCCCAGCTGATCAGTGACTTATGAGGGTGCACAAAAACTATTTGAAATCAGGACTGTGTGAGAAAACCTAGGTTATGTGGTGGATGTAGCAGTGATCCAGTCACTGTGATGTTGCAGAATAGAGGATGATGGATCCTTCTGTATTCCCTGTGTCGATCCCACTTCCTTCTCCCCCAGCATGCATAAGAGGAGCAGCTTCTCTGAGTCAGAGTGAAGTCTGCCACGTAGCAGTAAAAGAAGCCATGATTTAGGCCTCCTTGGCGCAAAGCCTGACATCACTGTGAATTAGCTGAGGGATATATAAGTAATTGTGATTGCCTACATCTAGAAGCCACCTTTTTGAGGTTTAATTATTTCTGCTCAAATAATAAAACGATGGATAGCCATTTGAAACCTGAACTTTTAGCAAGTCAGTCAATAGGTAGATACTTGCTGAGTGTCCACCATATGACCTCCCCACAGTGTGGAGTCCATTAAAGTTGCTAATTGGAGGGTCTCTGTGAGATATTTAAACTTAAACGTAGTGGATGCAGTGATTTAGCTGGAGATAAACACAAAATCTAGGGCTGTGTAAATAGTGATAAATGTTCCAAAATGATTCAGTGATTTTGATCAAGCTGTCCTGCAAGAGACAAATTTCACTATTCTGACCAGCAAGTCTTAGTTCATCTCAGTTGTATTCATCTATTTGATACATTTTTCCACAGCTTTATTGTTTTTCCAGCAAAAGAGTGTAAAGATTAAACTATAGACCCTGAGTTATTTTTATCAAATTTAATTACTTAATTGCAGTCATTTTGTATGTATGTTTTCTTTCAACATTGACAGTTTTAAAAGACTTGAAAAAGGTTTGCTTAAGTGTTTCCTTCTCATGTGATTCCTAAACAAAAGATGACAATTTAAAAATAGATTTTATCTATTTGCTGCTCATCTTCTGACTGTGGATTTCTTCCAACAGGTAAAAAGATCTCTTTGATCTTTTATTTTCTAATGGGCTTTTCGATGATTATTCCTGCTTTGGGCTAATTTCTTTTACATAGGTTATACTACAAATTACAAAAACATCTCTGAGGCAAAGGTGAATGATTATTTGGAGTTAGGTACAAAATTGGATTTTTGAAGACCTGGAGAGATCCAGGTCTTTTATTATGTTGACAAACGGAACAAAATCTACTTTGTTTAACGGAGATGAGCCAATATTGATTTCCAGGCTAAAAATTAGACCTTAAGGTTTTATAACTCTTATTTCTCAAAGCAAACCTCTTATTAAAAGGTTTTTTATTGAAAAAATACTGCTACCTGGGAGCTGTTAACGTTAGTAAATTATTGGTGTTTTGTGACTCTGTCTGAAAAATGACTGTGGTTAATTACATAGTGCAATCTTTCCAAGTCACCAGAAGCAGGAAGTAATTGTTTTCTTGTAACATAAGATGATTTACGTGTGTGTGTTTTGAATAGCTGAAGAAGTCACAGACCTGAAGCGGCAAGCAGTTGAAGAGATGATGGACAGAATTAAAAAGGGAGTTCATCTCAGGCCGGTTAATCAGACGGCTAGGCCCAGTGCAAAGGTATGGAATGACTAGATGCTTTTCCCCCTTGATGTTTCTTTTTTCAAATGTAAAATTGATGAAAGCTACATTAGAATTGACTGTCAAATCTGGGGTTAAGGATCACGTGTCATAAAAACCTTTGCTTCCATGAAAGCACGTTTCAGGAGGACTCTGTTTGACTCATGGTAAACCTCAGACACTCCAGGAAGTATGGGTTTGGCCAGAAAGTTCATTTGGGTTTCCCATAAGCTCTTACAGGAAATCCAGATGAACTTTTGGCCAGCCCCAAAGTCCTGTGATTGCAGGGTGCTGCCGTCTACTTGAGAGAGACAGTATAATTCAGCAAATATTTATTGTCTGCTATGCGCCAAGTACTATCTTAGGCCCTGGGAATAAAGCAGTGAACAAGAGACAAAGATTCTTGCCTTCCTGGGGCTTCTTTTCCGTGTGTCGAGGCTAATCATACCAGAACAGATCTCAGGCAGCTTTTGAAAAATAATGAGGTTTATATGATTAACCTCATTAATTTCACAAACCCACTCCAGGTCACTTCAAGGAGAAACTCGTTATATATCTTTATCTTCTAAACTAGACTACAGTGAGCTCCAGGACTGTGGAAGCACCCAGCGTCTGATTCAGAACTTTTCCCTTCCCCTGTATGTCTGACCTACTTAAATAGACCCAATCATAGAGCTTTTGACATTTTTCTTGAAAGATGTTTTTTTCTTTCCTCAACCAAATAAGGTATTAGCAAATTTCTCTTTCCTCCTCCTCTTCTTTTAAACTGAACTTTGTGGTTCTTTCTCACTCTCAAGGATGCCCCCTCTTCAGCTGCTTCGGTGTTCTCGCGTGTCATGACTGTTCATTAGAAACTCTGCTGGGCTTTTAAAGTTGCCTCTTTGTCACCGGCAGACAAGATCACTGGGCAGGGCAGAAATAGCCATGGTGTGGGCGGTCCACGGAGAGGGGGCTGAGCAGAGGGAATGAATATTTCATTCCAAGAGAGGATTTACATCTAGTGCAGCTTCAGCCAGCTATGGGGAAAAACTCAGTCCTATGCTAGTTTTCTGAAAGCAGACAGAATGTGCATCTTGACGAGAAGCTGAGTGTGTAAGTATGCAGTGCCAATGTAGTGAGTGTAAGGGCACTGTTGTTGGAGTTGGGTACTTGGCTGTGAGTCACACAGCTTCCCAGGCTTCTTCTCCGTAGAATACCATCTGTGACTCTCACAGTTGTCATCAAGGTCAAATGGAATAAAATGTGAAAACACTTTAAAATGCAGGGTCTAAGTAGAACCTTAGAAAGAGAATACATTTTTATAGCTTTCTTGTCACAACTATTTGGGAAAGAATAGCAAAACCAAGTTATTACTAGAGGAAAAATGCAGTGTCATAAAAGAAACAAAATTGGTTTAGAAAGAAAAATGTTGAAAACTTCTTAAATCGTAAGCAATCAGTGTTCTGTGTGTACTTTCATTTTCAGAATATCACTGTGTCCTTTTTCTTTCATGCCGTGGCTCTTTCAACAGTTACACATTATTTAATGTCAATTCAAAACCTGGAAAACACCTGAACAAGGATCAGTGGACAACTGTTTTTTTTTTTCCTGCTGGTAATCATTAAACTATGTAGATATAGTGCTGAATGACCTGGTCAGTAACCTTTAAAACAAATGGTCACCGCATGCTGCAGTCCACACTTCTTGCCCCAGTACCATCAGTGCTTTCCTGATATGTCACCAGTTGTGAAGTATGCAGTCCAAGCTTGAAAAAGCTTGTGCAGTCAGAGGGCAACTTGAGTGGCATAGCAGCACATTTGAGTATGCCTGTAGCCAGGGCATTTGTTCAAAAGTCGCAACTTCTCACCAAACAGCTTACCTGCAAGTCAGGCCTGCCTTGAAGGTACTCATTTAACTGCATATTACTGAATTCCTTGATGCTCTTGGTGGTGCTGGTGTGGTTAAAATTAGTGTCTTAGAGCTTTTGACTGGCACCGATGGCATGTATATATCACAGAAAACTGAGGCTCCGGAAATCAGATGTCTTAGTCTAATTTGTACATGAGCAGCAAACCTCTCTCTCTCTCACTTTTTCTGACTGTACAATTAAAAAAAAATCGGAATAGGATCTTATTCTTTGATTACCTTTTGAGAGGAAAGGATGATATGTTGCAATGAATCACCTCCCATTTCTTGATGCAAGATTAGCCTGGCCTCTTTTCTGAGAATGAGAGGCCTGAGGCATTCCTTTCACTGTGACTTGCAGGTTTTCTCTTTACCTCTATCCTTTGTGAAAGGAAGTGGTATAAGGAAAATCAGAGATTTCTTTTTTTTTTTTTTTTAGTTGTCTTTTCATTGAGGGCCTCATGCCAAATTTTCCTTATCTTAAATCAGTTGGGGGGTCCACAGAAACTGTTAGGTATGGTGGGGCAGGCAAGTGTTACCCAGAACTTCATTTCAAATGATTTTATTCATGGTGTCGCCAGATGAGAGCTGGACTTGTCATCAAGACACCGGCCTCAAATACAGAATTCCTCAAGGTGAAACTTTTCTCATAAATAAGATGAAGTGGGGACTTCCCTGGTGGTCTGTGGCTAAGACTCCACACTCCCAATTCAGGGGGCCTGGGTTCGATCCCTGGTCAGGGAACTAGATCCCACATGCTACAGCTAAGACCTGGCACAGCCAAATAAATAAATAAATAAATATTTTTTTAAAAAAAGATGAAGTGCTTGGACTACACACCCTCTGAGGTCTTTTACTGCTTTGAGAGCCAGTGGTGCTAACGTTCTCCTATAATGCGGGTTCTTTGTTGATCTCTGTTATGAAATTCATGAGATGAGACCTCCCAGGCTTCTGTGAGCTGGCCTTTGCCCAGAACTGATGGAGCTGAGAGAGGTTTTCTGCCCTGTCGCTTGCTTTCTGCTCTGCACTGCTACTTTCCTGGTCCTCACTTGCTGGCTCAAGTCCAGCAATGAGAGTGGAGAAAAGTTTGTTGTAAAATGTTCTAAATTATTTGGAATTAAATATTTGAAATTTAATGTTTACCAAACCTTTTCTACATATGATAATAGCAAGAAGTAACAAAACATGTAGACGAATAGTGGCTCAAATCCTTTTGCTTTAACTAGCACCTCTAATTTTCTGTTTAACTGCCCTCTTGGGAGCACTAACATGTCTAATTTTTTTTCCTAACTGTTAGACATCGACCTAATTATTAAAACACATAGTCAATAAGTTACCAACACTTTGCCATGTAAAAATCTTTGTTTGGTATTTTAAAACTTAATTACTCATTTGTTTTTCTTCTTTTTAAAATTGTAGCCAGAATCTGCAAAAGGCTCTGAAAGTGCAGTGAATGAACTAAAAGGAATGCTGGTAAGAATAGATCTCAGTTTATTACTTAGTTAATGGGAAAATGGAAGAATATTTTTAAACTCTACTTTGATGATTTGTATTTATTTTGATATATATATATGATATATATTTATATATTTTGATATATTTTTGGTCCATTTACAATAAGCCTCATTACTTGTGATAGTTTACTCGATTGTGCTGTGGACTCCTACATTGGTTGTGTTAATAATATGTCAGTACTCCACTGTTTCTATTCTAAAAGAATGGGTACACTTCCCCCCAAATCATTGTCTCCTGTTCTTGTCCTCCAATCCTTGCATTGCAGCATGAAGATAAAGTGTCTGGCCAGATGTGAGAATCAGCACATGCTTGTTGATACCAGAAATATAGTATATATATATTATACATATAGTAGATAGATATAAATATAGTAGATAATCTTATAAGTAAATCTCTATATAGATGACAGTAGATTTATTTATAAGTAAATCTACAATAAATATAGTAGATAATAACAGTATATTGAATAGTAGTATCTCATATGAGTGGTGCTTAACTTTGGAGAATGAAAGCAGAATTCTTGGCACCTAAATATAAATCTGAGCTTCTACCCAAATGTGTTAGCATCAGAGTCACAGTCTGCTTTCCTCACAGTTTAAAAAAAGTCATTTGATTGTAAATTGGAGAATAAAATAAAATTTCCTTTCTTTATGTTACTAATTTCATTTTCTGAAAGTAATTCACATCCATTGGAGAACATGCTTAATGCCCATCTCTAATCATATTTCTTCTTTCCAAAGTCTGAGCTTTTGCCAGCAGAATAAATGAATACTGCCCTGTCCAACAGTTTCTGTCAGAGACAAACGCCTCACTTAGAAAATGTTTCAGATGCTAAGAGCTCTGTTCTCAGATCCTGTTACAGTCTCAATACCAGTTATTATGCACAGTAAGTCAACAAACATGGGGGCGGAGGTACAGAGCTAATATTCCCATGTTTGTTGTTACTGCGCTAATTATGCATTGCATGCAGACATCCACATAATTGTGGTAAACAAAATTATTTTCATCAAGCATGAAACAGTGACTTAACTCAGAATGGCTTAATTAGTTTGCTGTAGTTTTTAGGTGAGTGGAATTAGTACTTATGAGAGGTATGCAATACTGGTTAACAGTGGTGGCCTCCCTACAGAATAAAGTATTAAAATCATTGAAAAAATAGGTGGTTATTATCTAATGGTTTCTTTGGGGAGAAAATTTTGTTATCCAGTGTTCTGGTAAGGAAGATGCCCTATGGCAGTCTTCTTTGTTGTCTCTACATTACACTGTTAATTCTTGTTCGTAAAGATGCCCTCGGGGTATTCTGAGGTTCTACGGTTATAGTTCTGATCCTCAATGAAAAGGTAAACTGCACTCAGTTTGTTGTTAAAATTAGGTTTAAAAAATCAGTCATCGACATGAGACACATGTGATATTTGATTACCCAAGATATCCCACTTCCTGATAATGCTGGATGGTAGCAAGTTTACTGAATCACAGCATTTCTTTTAAAGGTCATGTTCACTAGACACTCATACTCACTATAGTTTTATGCCACTTCAAGGAGAGAAATTCATGAAGAGGTTTTTGTAGAATAATTTGCAAGTTATAAAAACTGTTAAAACGTCTTTCTTTTCTGCAGATTGCCCTCATCCTCTTTTGCCCTGGGTATATCATTAGATTTCCCTTCCTTGCATGGTATTAATGTGTATCACTAGCAGCTGTTATTCTTTGCTTACATTTTTAAGAAGTGGAACTCAAGATGCCCTCCCCTAGTTTCCTCTGCCCAAATGGGCAACTTTGCACTACCACTACAGAAGTTGCCTTTGAGGGCTGATGGGTCACTTGGAGCTCCTAGTCACCTTGAGCCAAGACACCATACAACTTCTTTTAGGACGAAAACGAGGCACCCCCCCCCACCCCGCCCCGATTAGATGGGGCTGTATTGGTGCTTCCTGCTGGAGTTAGACTATTAGGAGTTAGTACCAAGCAAAGCACATGCCACCAACCTCACAGTCGTGGCCTGTGAGAAACAAACATGAAAAGAGCAGGAAAAGTCTGCCGATTGTGTACTGAAGCAGGGTATGAGCACTGGTACCAAGAGATACCAAGAAGCACTGGGTTCAGTTCTGTTCCTGAACAGAAACCAGGAATGAGCTCGGTGTACAGGTGTTTTTGCTGAAATGAAAGCGACCTGAGTTGTAAGCCTACCGCTGAAACTTAGCACACAGGTAGAAAACACATCTCGTGTTTTGGGGAGTTGGAAAACCTCACTCTTTTGTACACTTTTCAGGTCAACTTTTAAAAGTCTCAGTGTTGACTGAACTGACTTTTCCAAGTCTATTTGCACTTAATTTTTAAAGTTGTGTAGTCTGTGGATAGAAATATATACAGTTTACTTCTCATAGTCACACAAGGAAATCTCTGGAGACACCCCAGCCATTTAAAAGCCACTCTTAAGTGAAAATGATGATTTCCAAAGAATGAATCAGTAGAAATTAAAGTCTCAAGTTCAGTTGCCTCTAAGTCAAAGAGACAAAACCAGCTTTTTAAAAATTCTCTTTTAGGTCTTTTTGATCGTTTTAAGTTTTTGTCAAATTACTCCCTGACAATTATTTGTCAGTTTTATGAACATTTAACTAACATGAATTTTAACAATTTATTTACCAGAGACATTTCAATATTCACTTACATAACAAATCACTGGCCACTGGCATTAATTTTTGCGAAATCTCCCAGTCAGTAATATGTTAAAACTTGTAAATGATGAAAGTGGCTTGAAGTAGAAACGGAGTACTGTTCTAGAAATTAGAAAAGCCAAGTTCAAGGTTCAGCCCTATTACCCACATACTGTGGGACCTGGCCCCAAACTCCTAGGGATTCTCTTCTCTGTGAAGTGAAGGAATTGTATGTACCACGTGGTAATTTCTGATTCTCTAATTTTATGACTATAATATAGATAGATAATTAAGACAATCTCAGTACTTTATTAGCTGAGCTCCTGGGTCATGTCGGTTGAGATCAGTGCAGAAACCTTTCCTCCAGAATTGCCTCCATATTTAAAGTTTGCTGAGATATTAACTGAATCAACCACCTCAGTCAGTGAATGGAGAAAGAAGTTGGGGATTCAGGGATTAGAACTTGGAAAATGGATTCCTTCAAGTATCTGGTGTGATGAGAGGGTAGCTCGCCACAGTCAGGAGTTTGCGGAAATAATGCTTTTATCCAAACAAAAATAGAGAATATTGTAAAAGATAAATTCTTCAATAAAAGATGTCCCTGGATGGTGTATGGGTATGTATGTGTACATACACATATACACAGACACATAACTTTTTCTTGAATTAACTCCAGCCATTAGAAATAACATGCAGAATGTCCTTGATATTCAAATAATTTGAATATCAAATTGGATATCACTCATGGTTTTATGAGTGGTTTTAATAGTAATGGCCATGAGTTTTTCTGTTTACAAATGGTACAGCTTTTTAAGAATTATCAGCACAAATGATTTGGGAATATTTTTTCTAATACATTAAAAAAATTTTATCTAAGTTGGTTTTAGTTCTGTTTTCATTACCTTATCAGCGTCAATCCTGCCTTACTGTATAACTCTTTGATGAGTGGGAACCTCATTAACTGTTAAATAAATAAAATTATCTGATTTTTAAAAATTATAAAATAATTATAGTGTTACATGTAATATGACTTTCCTTTAAGGTATTTTATGAATTTTTGCAATAAATCAAGAGGAGAAAGAGGTTCTTCCAGAGGGAAAATGTTGGATACCTGATTAAAATGTGTATTTTACACATCAGTTTTGGTTAGCTAGCTAACAGCAGAGACTCCTAATCTCCTAGTCTGACAACAGACTGCTTTTCTGTAACTTTGTGCTGTTAGGTGGAGAAAAACACCTTTGTAAGCAAAACAGCATAGTAAAAAACCTATATCGTGAGATTTGCAACTACCTAATTTTTACAAGCTACTTTTTTTGTTTTATAGGCTAAAGAAGAAATATGAGTTACCATTTTAGCCAGTAGGATTCTTAGAATCCTTCAGGAAGTTGGCAGGGGGCAGGGAGCAGGATTAAGGCAAACCCACAGTGAGCTGAGATGACAAAGGCTGGCCTATTTGTTAGCCTTGGTGGACAAAGGCTGCCTTCCAACTCTGCCATGAAGTCTGGCAAGTTATACCTCACTTGAGGTTCTGATTTTCTCTGATCAGAAGATTGTGGTTCAACTGGGGCTGTTTTTTTTTTTTAAATCCTTGCTCCCCCACGAGCCTGTGGCACAGCTGAGGAGGGCTATTTCGAAGAAATAGTGGGCATTTCTTAGAAAAGAAAATGGACCACTTGTTATGGTGGGATGCTCAATCCTTACCCCTTAGATCTGAGAAGAAGTGCGTCACCCAGTGTTCTGTACAAACACTTGATCAGTAATGGAGCCGGGAAACCATAGCTCTCCCTCCCGAGCCAGGGCAGGGAAGCACTCCCTGGGTCTCTCTCAGGCCTCTTGAAAGTCAGCACTGCTTTCTGCAGGAGCCCAGCTCTATGGCATCTCTTGTTTTTCCTGCAGCGTCTTCTGGGTCCTAACTAACACAGTCCCTGCCTCCTCTGTTCAGCAGTGTGGGATGGCGGTGCCGGCCCTCCCTTGCCTCCCTGTGTGGTTATAACCTTTCCTCTTTCACAATGAAGTCGAGGTGTGTTCAGTACAGCGCTTCTTGGGGTATGCCACTGGAGAGCACTCTGTGCCTCCTTTGGCAGCGCGACACCGTTATCGCCAGGTGTGCAGCCAGGCTCATTCTCTCTGAAGAATCAGCCACATATTTCAGTGCCGCAAGGACATGGGTTCAGTAACTCGTGGCTGCCATATCAAGATAACCTTCTCAGGTGAGTTCAGTATATCCGTTCTCTTCTCCACGTGGTTGATCAACACACATCAGAATCTTAATCATCAATGTGCAAGTACCTTCCCACCACTGAATTTCATACAGTTAGTCCATCGACAGGTGTTCTTGTGCCGTTCTTTTGATACGAAAGCTCGACATCTTACATCATCAGTAGTGTCTTCTTAAATGATCCAACACTATGTGTTGTTAAAGATGTGTACATTAAAAATACATATAGAGCAAATTCATTTTTAGTTCCTAATTCCATTCAAATTCTGGTAATGTTTTGGTGGTTTGACTTTTATATTCTTTTGTGTATTGTATTAAGACATTAACCTTTTTGTTTTTGTTTTGTTTTCACTTTAGGGGACACTTAACACATCCACTAGTTCAAGAAGCTTAAAATCCCTTCACACTGAAAACAGTGAAACTGAGTTAGAAAGGATTTTGCGCCGCAGAAAGTTGACAACAGAAGCAGATAGCAGTAGTAAGCTGATTTGAATTCTCCACAGTTCTACTCTTTCTCTCTTAAGCATCTTCCTTTCAGTCTCTTTTTTAACAGAAAATGATCTTTCTAAAAGTATTAATAAAAATTTTTTGATGTGAATGAGAAGTATTGGATGGGCAAAGGTACTTAGGGATATCTCATAAGAGCTCTTATGTTTTTTTATTTATTGGCATGTTTGTTTAGTTATTTGTAGGGAATCAGGGTCTTATGGATCTGCTTTGCTGAATGCAGGATGCCCTGTGGTTAAAAACATTCAGGCAGGGCTTTGGTAACAATGCTGAGGGAAGGCTCCCTAACCAGAGGGCATGAGTTTAATTCACTGCTTGCCCTACAAGCAAATTGCTCAACCTCTCTCTGTGCCTCAGTTTCTTCATCTATAAAATGAGAATAATAAAAGCATTACCTCATAGGCTTATTTCAAAGATCAAGTTATTATGTTTCAATATATATAAACAGTGCTTAGCACAATGCCTGGGACAAAGCACATAATAACTAGTAATAATAGTAGTAATTACAAATCAGTTACAAATGTAGAGAGATAGTCTTTATTTTTCATATCCATTTAGTTTATTGCCTCTGCCTGTGAACCAAGTGAATGAGAAAGTCCAGCTCTATCACCCACTATAAATGACCATCTGAGGATCTTGAGATTATAGTTTGCATTGCTGTCATGACATACATGTATTAGACTTCATCGTGTGTTCCAGAACTCACTTTGTATGTCTACAGTTTTTTTTCCATCAGCTTGGTCATGGGAAGTAGCAGGAACCTTTGTGAGGTTTTCCCCCTTGTTGCCAGGAGGCTAGTTTTGAAAAACCACGATAAACTAGTATTAACAGTGACCATAGCTAATGGACTGAATCTTTTAGACTGTGTTAAATCAACTCCAGTTAGTCTATCACAACAGTTTACATTTGCATTGCCATCATGTCTATCAGGTTTAAATTGCTAGAATATTAAGGATTGGGGGTTTTGATAATCAAGTTCTAGTTTGCATATAGAAAGTGAAAGTGAAAGTTGCTCCATTGTGGCCAACTCTTTGCGACCCCGTGGACTGTATATTCCATGGAATTCTCCAGGCCAGAATACAGGAGTGGGTAGCTTTTCCCTTCTCCAGGGGGTCTTCCCAACCCAAGGATCAAACCCAGGTCTCCCTCGTTGCAGGCAGATTCTTTACCAGCTGAGTCACAAGGGAAGCCCAGTTTGCATATAGGGATTTACTCAATTGAGTAAATTGGTTCCTTGAACCAGAAGCAGCATAATACCAGCCAAACCTTTTTTTTTTTTTTTAATAAAAAAGTGAAACTTTTGAGTCTTCCTGAAAAAAAATTAGCCGTCCAGTTTTTAGTTTGGATTAGAAATTCTGTTAATATCCTATAAGAATTAACAACCCCCACCCCTAGAAAAAATAACCACCTCTCAGGAAAAATAAAGGATACCATAGAAGAGTTTTTGTCTTGATATGTGCCTTACAAGCTTTTACCAGCCTCCGCAATGAATTATTATTCATTTGCAACTTAATCAGTGCTGTGACTTTTCCAGCATTTCATCCTGAAAGTATTCGGGTAGTCGTCATTCAGAGTCGTCATTCAATTTTAGGACTTTGTGAATGCCATTTTAGTGCTCTGTCATTTACATTTTTTATTTTGCCCCTGACCTTTATGTTCCTCCAGAAACATTCTTACTTCAATCTCTTGGTCAAACATGCAGCACTTGCTATTTCACAGTTAGTTTTCCATGGGAGAAATGAGGAAACATTTTCATTTTCGTCAGTATGGAAAGCTGAATATTTCAAATGTGGAGAAAGGTAGGAACATATTTTATAGGCACAGTGAGACTCTTTCGTTTTATTGATTATATTCCACCAGCATACAGATATTCAAGGTATCATTTGAGGCAAGTTATAATAAGAGATTCAGTAGAATCATTAACATTTAGGTAGAGAAATAAGAACTGTGTAATTGGCAGGGTAAAGAGGAAACATACTAAAGGGAGTGGCTTGTAGGTGAGCAGAAATGTTCTTTTGAGTAGCCAAAGCAAAAAAGAAAAAAAAAAAAGCGAGAGGAAACAAACTTCCATGTCTATCACCTAGTAAAAGAAATCATACCATTTTTTTTTTTAAACATAGTTCATATGTTTTCGAAGGATCAAGTTGGCAGAGGTATTTACTATGTAAATCTTTTTATAAAGGTCACGGAATGAGAAAGTGAAATTCCAGGGGAACAGATAAGGAGCTGAAGTAGCAGAGCTGCATGGTGGGAGCAGATTACAAAGATGAGTTTGTTAAGTTTGTTCCTCGGATGCATTTGAGTCTCTGAGGTTTTTTCCTTTGCACACAAAGGCTTGTGGGAAGGCTAAAGGTGAGGTCACAGAATGTAGAGAGGAAGCAACCTGAGAGGCAGAGGCCGCCTGAGCTTGGCAGAACTCACGTCTCAGGTTTGTCAGTATCTCTGCCAACAGCCAGAGAAGCACCTCTTCCTTTAGACTTTTTTTAATGGGTTTAACTGGTACTACTTTGATATACCTAGATTTGTGGCCTACAAATCGGACATTTCAAAGAGCTCCAAGTGCCCCTCAGAAAATATTTGGACAGCTTAAACAGGATGCAATAATAATAATATTAAACAACATCATCATCTTAAACATTAAGCATTTTTCTTCATATTTTTCTTTTGTATGTAACGAAAACATGAGTTCTGGCTCAGCTCAGCCACCCTCCCCACTTTTTAATTGGCTTAGTTGCAGAACAAGCAGCAGGCGTTGGTGTATATTCAGAAACTAGATCTTGCTTTTCTACAGGGACAGATTGTTTAAAGCTACTGGGTGTTTCAGTCAGCAGTTACCCGAAAGCAGAATAGAGCTGCTCTGAAGCAAATCTTGAGCTCACCTCCAGATGTTATACTTTTTGGAATGGACTTTCTTGATTTCTCTGCCCTTTTCTCTTTACTCCCTCATTGCCATGCAGCGTGCGGCTTGCCGCAGGCAGGAGAGAGAGGCCTTTTGACCCAGAATATTCTATAATGTCACAAATTTGTCTGCTTCAATGGTATAGAGAAATCAATGAGAGAGGCAGACAGTGATGCTCTGTGAGCTGAGGCTTTCCACCACACCAGGGGGATTAAGTCTAAAGGAGCTGCAGTAACAGAATGGCTGAACAATTTTCTAGCCTCTCTTATACAAGTTTTTCAAATTAGAACTTCATTTTTGGAGTTCATATGTTATACTGCTGTAATACATGACACATTTATATGCAAATATAAGAATAAAATTCCAGAGCTTAATATTAGTGATCAAGGATTAGGTAACATTTTGGATTGTACCCACCAGTACTTTTCCATTTTAGGAGACGATCTGACATTGTTGAAGAATAAGAGACTCCCAAGTTTTGTTTTCTTCTTAGTGGCACCTTTCACGTTTGTTCTTTAGCTTAATTTTTTAGAAGTTCTAATTTTATTTGTACCTTTGTGACATTTTATAAATTACTATGTTTTGAAAGAATACCTAAGGATTCCTTCTGAAGTTTCAGGAAAGACATATTAGAATCTTTCTTTGAAAAAGCTGTCTAGGATAGCAAGCATCTTCCTAACAGAAGATAGAAAAAAAGTAATGATGGAGTTTAGCTTCAGTGCCAGAGTTTCAGATTGATATGCCAATAATTGTAGTAACAAGCCCTATTACAGTTTTCTGATCCTGTCTAAAGAGTAGAAAAGTCCAAAAGGTAAACAGCCAAACTCTTTGCCACTTAATTTTTATAATCCTGTGTCTGTAATTTAACAGGAAGTAAATTCACTTACTTCTCAATCACATTAAAATGAAAATGTTCATAAAAGCTGTTTAATGCTCAGGAAGCCTTCATGAGCTTCTTAAAAACAGCTTTTTGACATCGTTCCATTTTTTTCCTTTAAAATCAGAGCTGAGTTTGGGGAAGAATTAACTCTTGAGAGGCCAAATGATTCAAGTAGGGCTGCCAGAAAGCCATATTCTGTGAGAAGTAAAGACTTGACAATTCCAGTGTTACCAAGGACTCTGATCAGTTGAGCGAACCATGGCCTGGGGTTTTATAGTTGCTTAAAAGTCTGTACACAGTTTCTCAGCATGGTCCTGCTGCCCTGAAAAGCATTGGTGCCAGCCAAGCAGAGCAGTTTTCTAATAGGAAGATTTTCCAGCATGCTCTTGAAATTTTAGCAAGTCTTGGCCTCTTCTCTTCCTGCGGGGATTTTCAGCTAATCTGTTTTTCAGTTCCATATTAATAAGCATCGAACAGAATTATTAAACTTGAGGTATGTGTTTGGTTTTAAGGTCCAACTGGAATATTAGCCACCTCAGAGTCCAAATCCATGCCCGTGTTGGGTTCTGTATCCAGTGTAACAAAAACAGCCTTGAACAAGAAAACTCTGGAGGCAGAATTCAACAGCCCGCCCCCCCCAACACCTGAGCCAGGTGAAGGGTCGTGTAAATGGGAAGGATGCTCAAGTTCCAAGGTTACATTTCAGTAAGTAATGATGCTCTTTACTAAGTAGTATGTAGAAAAAATCTGTGATGACTAATTTGTGTGCTACTTTGCTTTGTTTATCTTTTAGAGAGCTTTTGATTTGGTTAGCCAATAGATACTCTTCTTCCTCTGTTTGATGAGCCAACTTTTGATTCCAGGCTCCTAGCTTTAGAGGTCTAATGCTGATGCAAAGCAGATATGTATAAAGAGAATTCCATCCCTAACTGGTTTGGTAATCTGATTCTTCTTCTACACAAAGAATTGACTTGGATGATCCTTATTCAGCATCAGAAGACATTTAATCATTCTTTCAAGATTAAATACTTAGATCATTCCTCTTAATGGTTCATGAGTGGCCAAAGAAGATACTAGATCTTTCACAAGATACTAGGTCTTCCAACTTACTTTGAAGGGTACGTTTTTACATACAACCTTATTTTCTGATTCTCAATTAAAGATGTACCTTAATATTGCTCTGTCCTGAGATTGAAGACATGCTATGTAAAGAGTTACCTAGCTTGAAAAGTGGCACTTTGATTGTTAAAGAGTTAATCCTGCTATTGAATGTGTTTCAGACAGTTCTGGTGGAGGATCAATTTGTTTTATAACAATGGCAAGCTCTTTTTGAAATTAGTCTAGTTTTGCTTTAGTTCTCTTGCCAGGATGTCAGCTGGTTTGTCACACAAAGAAAAGGAAGAGGTGAGACAAATCAGATCAGCGAATATTGTAATCAGGGTTAATTAAACCTCTGATTTCCTGTTCTATCAGGAAAGAAAGAATCCTTTTTTTTTTTTTTTGGTAACTCTACCTGTCTTAGTTTTAAGGTGACGCCTGGACAAATGAAGTTGAAATTCAGTTTAGATCTATTTTTGCCAACGGGTATTTTCTTCCAGTCTTGTATTTCTCTTATTGGTACTATTAACTTTTTTTCCCCTTCTTTTGGAATGAATGACCTTCTTTGCTGATTTACAGTTTTATCTAATTTCATTATGTTTAAAAGTGTATTTTCTCCTGCAGTCATGCATTTCCTTCTTTTGACGGGAGTCATTTGAACAGTTCTAACAGAAAGATGATCTATATTCATTCTTCATCTTTCCTATTACATTTGTTTAGCACCTAATTTGACATCAGCAGTCTGGCTACATTTGAACCAATATCCAGACACAAAAGCAATTTGGCTGAGACAAGTTAGTTTCTGAGAAATGCTTCAGTGTGTGTGTGTATAGATTTTTCTTTCCTTTACCATTTTACACAGATAATCTTAATCAGAAAATACTGCAACTCCTTCCCCCTTTTGTCTGCCTTTTATTCTCCAAAAGTAAGTGGAAATTACATTTCCAAGAAAGGAAATGAAATAATTGCAGGCCCAAGGTCTGCAAAATGTGTGCTGAATTGACAGTGAAAAGGATCCATGTGTTGACAGACACAGTTGTTAGACACCATAAAGGCCTATGTGAAGCTCAATTTATTTCTCATCTTGCTTGTTCAATGACTGCTTAAGAGACACATTTCAATTTAATTTATCTACTTAAAGCACTAATACAAATACTCTGTGCTGCTGTATTAACTTTTAAACTTTGTAACCTAACGCTTGATTATTCAGTTCTTGACATGCTTTAGCTGAAATAACCAACGCCATGCATTTTCTATTGACAGCCATTTAGCAAAGAAGAATGGCTTTCTGAAAAATGTTTCTTAAGTACAGTCATCCAAATCAATCCAAGTATTTTGTGTATGTTCATGGTAATTATTCACTTCCCAAATGATGCACTTCAAATCATTTTGTGTTTATACCTAGCTTTTTAATGAGTAAAAGAAGTTTAACTTAGTGTAGTTGGATGTGAGCTTGAAAAGTAAAAAACTCATGTGATTTCTCAGGATCTCCTGAAAGTGGTTTAGCTACAGAGAATGAGAAAGGTTATTTCCTGGATTATTTCTGGCTGGCTTTTGACCAATAGGTTCGCTTTGTTATATAGGTTCACTCTGTTATACTAGCCATAAGGTAGAGGCAACCACATGTCTTACCTCGTAGATCTGAATTGTCACTTTGAAGTGAGATCAGCAGTTAAAGGACTTCCCTGGTGGCTCAGCTATAAAGAAGCCACCTGCAATTCAGGACATGCAGGAGAAGCAGGTTTGATCCCTGGGTCAGGAAGATCAGGAGGAGGAAATGGCAATCCACTCCAGTATTCTTGCCTGGGCAGAGGAGCCTGGCAGGCTACGGTCCATGGGGTCACAAAAGAGCCAGACCCGACTTAGCAACTGAAAAACAAAAAAACAATGGCACCATTATCTTGAGCTGTGGCAACACCACCACAGTGTATTTCAGGTGAGTGGCTTTATTGTCTCTTGACAGGTAATCAAAGTCAAGGGAAAGTGTTAGTCGCTCAGCAGTGGCAAGGTCAAGGGAGGATACCAATCACAGTAGCCTCTAATCCATAGCATTATTTTTTGTGCACATGTATGCATGCGCACACACACACACACACAAGTCCCTGCCACTCTTATGCCCCCTTCCGAGCCCCACTTTGGCCTGTCTGCCCTGGTGTCGCTCCTTCTACCCCAGTTCTTTGCTTTTCCTTCCTTTAGTCTGGGATGCCCTTCTTCCAGTCGCTGCACTGTGTCACCTCCATCATTTCTTTGCTGACATGTCAACTTTTCAATGAGACCTACTTTAACCATCTATTTAAAACTGTAACTCAGCTCCTCTAAACTGCAATTCTTTTCAGTTTTTTTAAAATTTTTTAATTTTTTAAATTTTTTTTCATTTATTTTTATTAGTTGGAGGCTAATTACTTCACAACATTTCAGTGGGTTTTGTCATACATTGACATGAATCAGCCATGGAGTTACATGTATTCCCCATCCCGATCCCCCCTCCCACCTCTCTCTAAACTGCAATTCTTATTTGCAGTTTAAAACCCTTATCCTACTCTATTTTTCCCAAAACTGTTACCTTTAACATACTATATACTTTGTTTATATATATATATATATTATATATATATAAGCATATATATATAATATATGCTTATTTTTTTCTCTTCCCCTCCTAGAATGTAAACTCCATGAGGATAGGAAATTTTTTGTTACTCATATACCTCAAACACCTGGAGAAATTCCTGCCTTATGGTAGGCTCTCAGGAAATACTTACTAAATGAATGATTGAATACACTTTTTTATTAGTGAAACAGAATATCAATTAATTAGAATGCTCAGTTAACCTACACTACCCCATTATTCAACAGTCACACATATACAGATATATGTGTACCCAAATTTTAGATATTTTGGTTTGTTTGAGTGCTTTTTTGGTTTTTTAAACCTTTTAAAAATGCCCCAGAGTCATTTACATTGAGAACAGGTGTGCATGTCTTCTGCATCTTTGTAGCTACACAAGATAGAGTGAGCAGAGACCGAAGAATACCCAGTTTTAGAATGTTTTGCCTGTGCTCATTTGATTGACCTCAAATGGACAGGAAAGTTTGCTACCTACTAAGAAACCTTTTAAAGTGGAGAAAGAAACATAGATGTTTTCTGCATAAGATCTTCACTTATCCAGAAAATTAAATAGCATCAAGCTCTTCCCAGAAAGTTTATTTTCCTTTTAATAAATCCCTAAAAATTATCATATGTGTGTGTTCCAAATAACTGAGTAAGTCCTGTATGGTAAATTGTAGACACAGAGGTACATGGGTTTATTTCTTAGGGACTTAGGAAATGGCAGGAGACACCTTTGATACTTCGTTGTAAGGATTAATTAACATTCTTGTCACCGGCCTGAGCAAACAAGGTTTTTTTGTTTTTTTGAACAAAAATGAAAAGGAAGATAATCAGGACTTGGAGAAACCTAATTGTTTCTATTTCTCCTTTAATAATAGCTTTAGGAATAGTTGTGTCCTCTTTTAATTATTTCTAATAAGTATGTGCGTGTGTGTGTGTGTGTGTGTGTGCGCCAAGTCACTTCAGTCATGTACAGCTCTTTGTGATGCTGTGGACTGTAGCCGTCTAGGCTCCTCTGTCCATGAGATTCCCCGGGCAGGAATACTGGAGTGGGTAGTTATGTCCTCTTCCAGGAAATCTTCTCAACCCAGGGACCAAACCCGAAATGTTTCCTGCATTGGCAGGCAGGTTCTTTACCACTAGCACCACCTGGGAAGCCCAATAAGTGTGTACTACCTGGTAATGATATCTTAAATCTAACAGTGAATTTGAATTTCATTAATTCTGATTAGTAATTGTTCAGATAGGAATTATGTTTATAATCTCCCTTTATACTATGAGAGGTAAAGAGCCGACCAAGCAAATGAAGAGTGTAAGCTTTATTTTTGCTCTCATGCTCTCTGCATCTGATCCAGAGTAAACTGACCGTGTTAAGATAGAGTAAGACTCATTGATTCAAGCTAATCAGTGGCCATGTTGGTCAATATAAAATAGAGAAAATTCCAAATTACAGAGTTTTAAAAAGATAACTTTCATTACTTTTTGATAGCCACAGTACCTGGAAATAAACTGAGTGTTGCCCAGGGTCAGATGAACAGGAATGAGCTGCATTTTCATCAGTAAAAGTCTGTAGAGTGGGTGAGGAGAAACAAGGAAGCAGTGTGGTCAGGTTTATAAACCAGTGTTTTCCCACACGTGCTCAGGGTGGCACGCAGCTTCAGATTATTTCCAGAATGCCAGCTCTACAATGATATCTTGGGTTTGCTAGCTGTATTATCTTTATGGCCTCAGGCAAGTTATTTAACCCTTGACTGGTTCCTCCTGTGGATGATGAGGGTAATCTTGTAGGGTTGTCATGTAAATTAAATAATAATGAAAAGTGTTTCAACAGATTCCTTTTCTATCTTAATTATAATGCTGGGCCATTACTGGATGATCAGAGACAAAAAGAGTTGAAAGCTTAGATACTGAACACCTGGTTATTGACTGGACCAGGTTTCCTTGGGAAAATCATGTAACTTTTATTCTGTTTTTTTGTTTGTTTGTTTGTTTTTCT